ACTGAAAGGTGGCCCGTGCACCAGTGAGACGTTAAAAAAAGGGCGGAATACATACAATACACATTAAGTATCTCTGCTTGAAAAAAATCACTACGGAACGAGTTAATTAAGACTTACAGGATACTTTAGGAGCAAACGATCCACCGTATTTTACAGAAGAACATCCACCAAAGATAACCTCTGACAGCGGTAGTGACCGAAGAAATGGTCAAATAAGTTGAAAACAATTTTTAGCAAATCGTCGTATCACGGTACGTTTTATAGCCGAAGAAACAAAGATTTCAACTGGTAGTGTGCATAGCATTTTACACGATCGCTTGGGGATAAAAAAAGTATCTACGCAATCGGTACCCAGAATGCTTACCGATGCACAAACATAAACCTAGCTGGACACATCTCGAGCTTTATAATTGTAACTAAGCCAAATTTTCACATTAAATATTTATTGGAAAATCTTATTGAAATAAACATTATTATCGATACAGAGGCTGAATATATAGTTATTAGAATTTTTGTCCGTCTGTCTGTTATCGCATCACAGAAAAATTACTGGAGGGATTTTGATAAAATTTGGTATGGAGATAGGCGGTTATCTGGGTCAACATGTAGGATACTTTTTAACGCGGGAAAATGTGTCATTTCTCAGAAATACTACAAAAACTGCATTGTAAGAGTATACTATTATGTAAAACCTAAGAATTTGGTTTTGGGTCATCTGAAATGAAAAAGTCTGGGCAATGCTAGTGTAATATATATGAGGTGGCCACCCATCTCATAAGAGGCCATGCTCTTTGTAAGACCGATTATTAAAAAGTCATAGTTATTGCCATGCGATGACAAATTACTTCTACTCAGATTAGCACCCATTGAACTCAAACACTCGGACGCAGCGGCGAGTCGCTGGCGCTGCTGGTTTGTCAATGTGATCCCTCGCTTTGTTGACTTCTTTTTTTTTCTTCTTTTATTTGAATCGATTTTCTTTTTTTATTTGAATCGATATATATATATATATATATATATATATATATATATATAAAAACTTGAATAAATACAAAAAAACAAAAATAAATTATACATTGGTGTCCGACCGGGATTCGAACCCGGACTCTTATTCAATCTTACGCCTTGGCCGCATGACCATGATGCATATATCCGAGCGTGCGAAATTATCGAACATAATATTTTGCGTGGAATAATGCAAAAGAAAACCGCTTGATTTGCTCGTTTAAATATATTAGATAAGTATTTGCCATTGTACTAAAGAAAAATTATATAATTTTTTTTTCAATTTTAGTTAAAATATCGTTAATGTTCCTAGGAAAGCCAATAGTTCCTTGTAAGGTCAAAAAAAGATCATCAAAAAATTGATAGTTAGCCTTGCTAGGGAACAAAAACCTCACTAGGAACATTTAGAAATCACTAAAATGTAAATACTAGTTCTTAGTTGTGTTATACGTATCGGGAAAGGTAAGACAATATATAAGTTCATAATATTATTGCCTTAAAACATGCTTTGAATAATTTTATTTTAAAACTCCTTTTGACCTTACAAGGAACAAACCCATAAGAAGGCCATTATAGTCGGTTTTATTAATTTTTATTTTATTACAAACGTATTATTAGCAACTTATTTAATATCGATATAATGCTTATTAAAATTATTTATAAAAAATATTTTCACAAATACATTCTTAGTTTTACGATAGTGTTCAAGTAATGTACGTTGACTATTTTTTATATGAATATATTATGATATTATGTTTTTAATGTTGACCTTTTTATGATGATTATGGAAGGATTACTAGATATTTTGATTGCCTCAACGTTAGTTGTAAGTTAAACGACTGATTTATAATATCAGCCTTGTATGGAGCACTGTTTCTTGCAAGGCCACTTTGGAAGAGTTTTAAAAAACTTAAATTTAACAAATAATCATTAACTCTGCAATGAAACAAAACGTTTTATAAGTCACATAAAAGAACAAAATGTTACTTAATAATTTGTTTGTTTCATTTATCCAATAAATAAAATAATTATAACTGTTTATTTATTAAGGTGGCCTTCCATGGTCGAACCACTTTACATAGATATAATATGTTATATTGAATATAATGGATATAATTGGTATAAAGAAGAATAATTTGATATTATATTACATAATTCGAAAGTAGGTAACTTTAATATGGACACGATCAGAAAAGACTATCAGAGGTTTTGTACCGATAATATTCACATTTACAAATCCTTAAAAGGTCAACCGTGCTCGAAACACTGTGGCAATTGCAAGACAAGTGCTCAGACTTGATTCTGAATCAGAAAATGAATACGTAACTAGCAACTTATAAACAAAGCGATCTTAAAATATGCATACATGTTTCTTTTTCTTATAAAATAATCGGGGAATAATTGGGAAAACACGTTATAATACAAACCAAAATATATTTATGATCAGAATTACTTGTTTTAGACTTTAATACGAGTTAATAAATACGTGATTTAGCATTTTCCGAAATTCGTACCATATGGGGGTAAAATAAAATATAAGTTTGTATAAAATATTATAAATGTGAAAGTTTGTGAGTACTACAGAAGTAGTACTATAGAACTGCTGATCTACTGATGATGAACGGGTCTGAATGAAATTGGCACAGAGATAGATTATAGTTAGGTTTGTTTTTGTTTACCTAGAGGTGAACCCCAGCGAAGAGAGGCTGAGCCGCTAGTGTACATATATTTAGATACATAACTAGTAGCGAATGAAGTATCAAAAATCTTTTACTTACAATGTTCAAATTTCAAATAATATTTTTTGATTTTAGCACTTAAGTACGTTCTAACAACTTTGTGATGTTTCAATATGAAATATAATAGAAATAATGATTATAGATTACTATTGTTTTTGTAAGCAGTGGCTATTTAACTAAATTTTAAATGAGTCTCACTGACAATGTTATCTGTGCCAGCGTTCATGAATGTGAAATGCTTCGATAACAAATATCGAGCGTGCATAAGAAGCCATTATTTATCGGCAGTAACAAAACACAGATAACAGCTCATAGTGAAAAATTGAGTCTTTTGTCCTATCGGCTGTGTCATAGCGTAAATAATGAATAAACGCGTGGAAATTTGACCACTATGTCTGAATAAACAATGACAGAAACGAAAGTTTTGGAATAAACTCTCACTTTTTAAAAATGACTTCGAAAAATGTATGACTTAGATCCCAGATAGTTTAGGAATCTTTCAGATTATAAATCAATAATAGATAAATAGAAATCAATATATGTACCTACATACATATACACTAGCAATTACCGAAAACGACTCCCTGGTGCTAGCAAATTGGTTCGCTAATTGAGTTAAAATAAAATGTGATGATGCGAAAAATATCACGACTGTCGACAAAGGGTACTGTAGTAAAATAATGACCACATCAAAAACCTCATCACGCATAGGAGAGCGATATACAGAAAGGTTCGTCAATTAATTAACTCCATTGCGTCGAACGCTGTATGCGCGCAATATTGTGTAATGTTTCCATTAAAATAACAACGATCAAAATTATAAAGTTCCAATTGTACCTATATTGTAGATAATTTCAAGTCATATATTATGCGTTTGTGACTTTAACGCTACACTAGCAACGTGCCCTCGCTTCACTGATGCCTTAACGCGATACGCTATAATGGCACGTTCCAATAAATGACTTATATTTTATAATTATAATAGGTACTATAATAATATTGTATAAAAACTTTTAGCAAAAAATAGATAATATAATGAAGATAATTTATACATTTTAAAAAAATATTTTGTTTTATTAATTTAAATAGGTTCAGGAATTTGCTAGTTTATGTATAGTAAATGAAAACTACCATCAGTTATTTTTTACTTTTTAGTGCTTTTGTTTGAAGTCGGTTTTTATTTTTTTGTTAAAAAGTTTTTATTTTTCCCTTTTTAGTGTAGACAGTAGTAGCAAAGTAATAATTCTAACGTGTTAGGCTTGTCAAATCAAACAAAATAAGCTCAAACTCAAAGTATCTACTATTAGTCGTTGAAGAGTTCCACCTATCCACCTTCTGGCCTTACCATCAGATCAGGTCAACAACACCGAACCACTGTACTATCAACGGAAATAGAAATACTTGCAAAGTTTCAAGTCAATATGACAATTAGAAGTAGGTTAAATTCATCATTAGTTGTTTTTCCACCCTTAGCGGTGGTATTTTTTTTTGACATTTAAATGGGACCAATCTGGAAGTATACCCTTTCAAACAAAACAAAAATTTTCCAAATCGGTTAATAAATGACGGAGTTCTGAGGTAACAAACATAAAAAAAAAAAAAACATACAGTCGAATTGAGAACCTCCTCCTTTTTGAAGTCGGTTGAAAATATACCTTTATAGCAAAAAATAGATAATATAATGAAGATAATTTATACATTTTAAAAAAATATTTTGTTTTATTAATTTAAATAGGTTCAGGAATTTGCTAGTTTATGTAAGTTTACCCCGGGTACTGTTATCTTCTGCATAGAAAATGTACATTTATTGTAAGGAAATTTATTAACACATGAAATATAAGTCAATCATTAATTTGTGCTTCAATGAAACTCTAAAAACAAAATCTTCACTATTCCGCTGCAAAACTTTCTCGTAATAAAACTTAAGTCAAATGTAGAGATAATTATATCTATGGTCATCATATCTCGTGCTGTATTACATTCGCATAAACAAATTTTATTTTAGAATTAAATATTTTAGAAAACTAAAATATCCTTTTTTGAAGTAAAACTTGCCCATAATATTGACCTGAAAGTTAAGAATTTGTATTTAAAAAAAACTATTTTACAATACTGTATATTTCTACAATGAGTACTGCAGTAAACATGAATATATATATATATATATATATATATATATATATATATATATATATATATATATATATATATAATAGGACTATTATGAATATTGTTAACAGTAAAACTTTGTTACAGAAACTGAACATTCTGGAAGGCGATCTGCCCGAAAATACAGACGATTTAACTATAACCGGTGCGGAGTCTCTGATACTAGAGACAAACTCCCTCTCGCGGTTGAACGACGCGCGATACCTACATTTTTCGAACAACAAACTTATCCTCATGAGGACCTCATCAGCTGTCAGTCTGAATATAGTCAATCTTTTCCTTGAAATTGACAACTGTACTGTTCTAAAGATTGAAGAAAAAGCATTTACCAATATTAAAGGTACTTTTTATATTTATTTCATTTGCTTAATACATATAACATAAATATCAGCGACTTTCGAGTTCGATTGTCATTTAGGACGTTGTGCTTTTTTTAGGCTTGATTTATGTGCTTGAATTTTAGATGGACCTAATATCAGACCCCATCCCTATAGAGTTAAGACTACGATATAGTGTTAGTTCTTGTGTGTAATTTCTTTATTGTTAATAATAAGTAGTAAATTGAAATATAATTCAATACCTTTATGATATTTTCCTAAAGGTTAAAATTTTAAATACTTAAGTCGCTATGCGAAGTACCTACACTTTGTATATGTTTGTTACTTTTTGTTAGACCAAGTACTAAGCTCAACACGGCCTACTAGTTTGTACCAATTACTCGACTGCGACAGTTTTAATATTTATATTTTATTTAAAATTTTCCAATAGGCAATTGCGAAATTTATTATTATAGTAAAATATTATTTATTATTTTAAATAAAACTATCTTTTCGGATATGTTCGCGAAAATTCCGAAAAGATAATTTTATTTAGAATGTCAAATATTCGCGTAAATCTAAGAAAGTATTATAATTTATTATTATAGTGACTAACCCTAGCGTCGCTCGGGTGCGTCCCTGGGTACTAAACTGGGTAATAAATAGATAAAAAACTTAAAGATATAGATAAAAAAACCAATCGGTTGTTTACTTTTTGTGTTTTTTTTTGAAGTCAATTTTGCTTTTTATTTTTCCATGTTTAGTCGTGAAGTAGTAGTAGTAAAGTAAGAAGAAAGTATTTAATGAAATATCCGCTTAAGCCGTTTAAGTAAGTTTCATGGCAATTTTTATATGAAGACGACAAACTAAAATTCGCTTTTATAAGTAACACTAAAAAATCAGGCTCTAAAATTCAATTCAATTTCAAAATAAGCCCAAACTCAAAATTTCTACAATTAACTGTTGAAGAGTTCCACTATCCAGATGGATCTGGCCTTACCATCAGATCAGCTCGATAATACCGAATCACTGCATTATTAACGGAGATACAAACACTTGCAAAGTTTCAAGTCAACATGACAATTTGAAGTAGGTTAAATTTTCAGTATTTATTTTTCCACCCTTATGAATGTTATTTTATTCAAATTTAAATGGGACCAATATGAAAATAGCTATATACTTTTAAGTAAAACAAAAATTGTTCAGATCAGTTAATAAATGACGGAGTTCTAAGGTAACAAAACTAAAAAAAATACAGGCGAATTGAGAACCTCCTCATGTTTGAAGTCGGTTGAAAATAGTTATTAATTTATTATCTATACATACTTAATATTATAAATGTAAAAGTGTTTGTTTATTTTCACTTCGAAAAGGAATGACGGATTGGCGTGATTTTTTGTGTACAGATAGTTGAAGGGCCTAGGGGTGGAATAGGCTACTTTTTACACAATTGTCAATTAATACAATTCAAAAAAAAAATATGATCAAAATTACTTGAAACTTGGTATTAGGGCTCTTCAATAAAATTAAATAAATAGGTGTTTTAGCATTTTACAAAATTCATCATATAAGGGGATAAAAATAGGGGATAAAAATTTGTATGAAACTACTTTTTTAGAGTTTTTTTAATAGTTTTCGTGCGAGTGAAGCCGTGGGTTCTGCTAGTACGAGTATATACGAGTGTATATCTTAGGAGATAGACATATGTTACACAGTACATTGTTTTCATGTATCTCTTAAGGTTGTTTCAGGTGTTTTACGTGGCCCCACCAACGTGCGTTCACCTTGTCGTGGTGGGAGGGCTCAGTAGTGCCCGGCAATTTAGCCGGGCGCGAAGCCAAGAAACGCACAGGGAGGTGGCCCACTTCGGTGGGCGGTGGGAGGTGGCCCTCTTCGGGGGGCGGTGTACCATGCGGGTTGCTCCTGGTACTTCTCTGATAGCAGAGTGCACCTTGGAGCAACCCCATGGTTGTTGTGGTCTGCTTCGGCAGACCTGCCGTCGGGGCGTCGTAGTTGAATGCGTAAGCGATCCTGCGATGCCCCATTAAGACGGTGGAAGGTTTTGTTGGGTTTTAGTGGGTAGTACTGGCTTTGCCGGTGAGTCCCACACCTCGTGCGTAAATGTATTTCCCAACGTTAAAAAAAAAAGGTGTTTTACGTGGGAATGAGTTATCTTAAGAGTTAACCGAAGTAATAAGTTATCACTGCAGAAAATTTAGTTAAAATCGGCTCAGTACTTTTTGTGTGAAAAGCACACACACACAGATAAAAGAACAGACAGAAAAATTTATAACTGTTATTGTGGGGTCTAGGTATATTCTGTACAAGATATGTTAAAAATATTTCATGTGGGTACAGATTTCGCTTAGGTACTATTTTGTTTTATGCATAGATTACGCATTTTATTTAAAATAGATATTATATGTATAAATATCAAATATGAAACAAATTTATGTCTTCCAAAAATCAGCATTTCGGGAGGGGCGTTGCGTCTTTATCTATATTAATTTAAAGATAACTTTAAAAATTCCGTTGACATTTTTAACATGAATTATTACATTCATTTACAAGTTTATATGAAAATTCATGAAATCAGCTTATGCTGACATGTTTATACATAAGCTTACTTTTTTTAAGAGATACAATTAATTTTAATTGGCTAACCAAAAAAAATTCTAATATTTTTAATTTAAAATTCCTTAATATCAATCATTTATTATAACTAAAATCGCATATTCCATGAAAGTTACCATTCATATTAAATACTAATCGTCCAGCGGATTGTTCCACGATAGACGGCATTAAAGCTGCAGGTGCACCGGATGCCAGACTGGATCAGAGTCGAGTTCGTAGGTCCTCCACGGGTCTGTCTAGTGTATGGGCATCGCGGTATTCGAACGAGCCGCATCGCATCTAAGAGTCAGGACCAGTTTCATGTAAAGGAGTGTATGTTTGTATCAGTCAATGTATGTATGTAGGTATGTATGTATGTATGTATATTTGTTCCTATGTGGCGAAACCAAACGCGTAGGCCGATTTTGATGATTCATACGTCGTTAGATTCGTCTTGATAACGCGAGTGTCATAGGCCATATAAAAATAGATAAAAATTAAAAAGGCGGATTTCGATGTCTAAGGAAGAGACAGAAGAAGAAAAGGAGTCCTAAATAAAATCATCTTCCAAACTATTCGAGTGGGTGGGGGATATTAGGGTTTTTAAGAGGCGATCACAAAAATATATATATATCTAATATGTTTAAAAGTAATTTAGGATAAAAAAAATCTAAATATAACTTCTAGTTGGCAAAAACGAAATAGCTGTTAATAAAAAAATATATTATTAAAATAAAAAATCCCGAATGCATAAAAAATAAAACTGCAATAAGTCAGAGACATACATACATATGTCTATGTATGAGACATGCATACATCTTACGGAAAGAATGAAACGTGTATGTCTCCGACGCATAATACTTTATTCCTTCGTAAACTTGTTTTCATCTTTTTATTTTTCTTATTATTTGTTTTTTTTTTCATTATTTCAATTATCCTATCATTTAGTTTTTGGATTTCGTTTAAAGTACCTCTATTCCCTAAATACTGAATCTGTTTAGCGTTCTTCTTCTCTATCTCTTCTTATCTTATCTATCTATACATATAATAAAATTGTAACTAAGCCGAATCTGTACATCAAATATTAACTTATAGAAATAAACATTATTATCGATATAGAGGCCGAATCTATAGTTTTTAGAATTTTTGCCTGTCTGTCCGTGACCACGACGCGAGAAGACCACTGGACAGATTTTGATGAAATTTGCTATGGTGATACCTGGTGCTCCCGTTCAACATATAGGATACTTTTTACCGCGGGAAAATATCTCATTTCTGAGAAAAAAATACAAAAACTGCATTGTAAGAGTACCTATACTAATATGTAAAACCCAACAATTTGCTTTTTGGTCATCTGAACGCGGGCGGAGCCGCGGGCAATGCTAGTGTTTAATAAAGTGGGTCATTATTCGTCTATGAGACTTGCGAGTTGCAAGTCTTACGTGCTACATTTTAAACTGCTCAGACTGGTTCATTAAACCATACGGAAAAATCTCTCTCACGTCGATGATGCAGACCCGAACAAGTTTTCACCTATCCTCTTGAAAAATAAAAATATTAAATAATAATATTTTGTAAAATTATTTGTATTATTTTAAACGGATCTCAGAGTTATATTAAGTACCTATTACGCGTTTATAATAATATTTAAACACCATGATGATAATATTGAAACACCATCAAGATGATAAAAAAAATATTACTTCATGACTATTTGTAAGTGTAAAATATAAATAATTAATGATGAACTTAAAAGCAATTCTATATGTGACCTTTTCGTCAAAGCCAAGTCGATTATGAACCTCATCCGACCAAAGAGTAAATTATTAAACCGGTTAACTCTGACGCAATGTTATTTTTCCTAAACATAACTTGTTTCTAAGCTTTCGTTGTATTAAATTTTATTACTCTAAATATTCATATTGTGTGGTTTTTCTGTGATGCGGTAACACACAGACAGACAGACAAAAATTCTAAAAACTATAGGTTCGGCCTCTGTATCGATAATAATGTCTGTATCAATAAGATTTTCCAAAAAATATTTAATATACAGATACGGCTCCGTTACAATTTTATTATATGTATAGATTAGTGACTTACCCTCACCTCGCTCGCGTGTGTCCTAGGTAAGTTTTAAAAAAAAAAGTTATTGCGAGTGTACCTTAGAAGATGGTTTTATGCTTGATATTGCAGACTTTTCTGTAGACCTTTTTAAGGCCTACATTTTTCTAGTGCATTGTTTTTGATGGATGTATCTCTTAAGGTTTCGCCAGCGTTAGTAGTGTAAATATCTAAGGATAACTCAATAGTCAATCAGTTATGGTTTTTTCCCGAGGGAACGAAAGATTTTACTGTAGTAAAAGGTATTCTAAATGTTGACCCGAATAATAAGCTATCACTACACACAATTTTGTTAAAATCTGTTCAGTACTTTTTGCGTGAAACGCGCACATCCATACAGAATACAGACGTTACTATCGTTGATTTTAAAAAATATTTCATGAAGAGATTTTCCCTTAGTTACTGTTTTATTATAGGTATGTATAGATGAAATAATATTTGTTGTCTTATGATTTAGTATGTCAATGCAATCTATTCATTAAATATTTTTTGGAAATCTTATTGAAATAGACATTATTATCGATACAGAGGCCGAATCTATAGTTCTTAGAATTTTGGCCTGTCTGTCGGTATGTCTGTCTGTCTGTTACCACATCACGAAAAAACCACTGGAGGGATTTTAATGAAATTTGGTATGATGATAGTCCTTTATCCGGGTCAACATATCAAATATAGGATACTTTTTACCGTGAGAAAATATCTCATTTCTGAGAAAAAATACAAAAACTGCATTGTAAGAGTATACTTATATGTAAAACCTAAGAATTTAGTTTTTGGTCATCTGAATGCGGGCAGAGCCGCGGGCAATGCTAGTACATAATATGGGGTAGGCTGGTCTAGGAGTACGCACTTAAGGTTCAAACAGTTCTAAAATTAAATTAAATATCTCGAGATAATCGGCTTAACTTTTATATTGTACTTTAATCACATCTTTCATAAAGCAACATGAAATGTAACAAAAATATTCAATCTTTATAAAAATAAAAAAAATTATAAAAGTGATAATTGCGTACTCTTACAAGTCGAGCTATTGGATACTCTTACGCATGTGTGTTGATAAGAGTACGCAAGAAAATTTATATCATGATTCGTGTCCTGTATCTCGTACAGACTTCATGCCACCACTCCTGGCATTTGGAACATCCTATCCAATCTTCATTGGGTCCACTCATACTTCACCACACACGCGGTGGACATTTCCACATATTCTTTTTGGTACTTCTTAGAGGGCAAAGTATGAAAAAATTAACTGCCTCTTTAGTGCAGTGGGACGTGTGGTTATAAAAAATCAATAGTATTAGATTAATGTCTTTGTGTGTAAGAGTACGCACGTGAATTTCTGTGTTTTTGTAGGTTTTTATTTTTTTCCGCACAGCACTTTTCACTAGCCTACACTTCAAAATAACACTGTAGTTAGCCGCGGATCGTAAACAACGTCGTGGCTATTGATACTGCGTATTCTTATCGTATACGTACTCCTAGACCAGCCTATCCTATGTATGTTATGTATTTAATTTATTACAATGAGTTTAATTATCCTCTCTTTGTATCTGAAACTTTCTATCGACAAATTCAAGTTGAGGTCTCCACAATGTGGGTTCCTAAATGTGGAGTCCACATTTATGAATTTCCATTAAGCTTGCGGCCGAAATATTGAAATTTAATCAATAGAATTGCTGCATATTAAATTATCATCATTATCATAAGTAAATATTAATACATACAATAGAAGTAAACTAAAAGGACCACAGTACAAGTAATGCATACACAGGTTTCTTGTATCTATATAGATTAATAAAATTGAAGTGTCTGTTTGTAATATCAAAATAACAGCTTTTTACTAAATGCATATGGAATTATATACGGTATTTATAAGAAAAACACTTTTTTTAATTTGTGTTTGTCTGTTTGTTTGTTCCGGCTAATCTCTAAAACAGGTGGGCCAATTTTGACGGGACTTTCACTGGCAGGTAGTTGATGCTATAAGGAGTAACTTAGGCTACTTTTATTTCAGTAAAAGAATTAAGGTTCCCTTCAAAAAAATTAAAATGTATCTAGGGACGAACCCGAACGAAGCAAGGGTGAGTCGCTAGTTTTTCATTATATTAGAATAGATAAGAATATAATCAAAAGTCAAAACAAAGCATAGATCTTGTAGATTAAAAAAATATATAGAAAATCATTTTCTAAAGCGATGGAGGACACTGAGTATTATTATATTCTGTAAAAATTACTCATTGTATACACCTATTTAAACGGCATAACAATCGGCTAAAATCTTTATCAACATTTTGTCGTTTTTTAAATTGTTGCGACATATGAGCACTACGCCATATGGTTGGAAGCTGTGCAGTGACGCACGAAACGCCTTATAAATAAAACGAATAAGCATGCAACAAAATACATTACATACTATTTCCTTTCAAAATAATAAAAAAAATCATAAGGCTACCATTTTCATTATAAAATATAATTCTTAAGTTCAAATCATACCACAAAATTTAGTCTTACGTCTTGCACATTCGCATCGGTCCAACTCCAACATCCACTTATAACATAATTTATCAACCGACTTTCAAAAAGTAGGAGGTTGTCGATTCGTCGTAATCTTTTTAAGGTGACTTCAAGCTCTTGCGCTGATATCCTTAAACCTGCTATTAAACTGTATAATTTACGTGATAACGAATATTCAATGTAAACAAAGCTAAAAAATTAAATTGGATTTTATTTGAACCTTTAAGATCCAAAGTTGTATTTTGAGTTATCTATAATATGTGTTTCGAAATAATTTGTGGTCATTATACTTGGCGGCTATTGTAATCGAAATGGATTTGTCGAGATGAATGTATTTGTCGAACTTTGTTTGCAGTGGCTAATATCTATACATACCTATAATAAAACTGTGAAGGTCGAATGTCTGTACATAGAAAAAAAATGCTAAAACCAAGTCAGGGGGGTGTAAGAAGAGAAATAGAATAAATCCAGATTTTTTTCAATTTCTTTGTTTCTCTGTTTGTCTATTTGTACGGGCTAATCTCCGAAACTATTGGACCGATTTAAATGAAATTTTGCATGGTGGTATTTATATCCCCGGTCAACGTCTTAGATACTTTTCATCCCGGAAAATTAAAGAGTTCCCGTGGGATAGTTAAAGAATTATAGTAACGTATACACCAAATTTAGTAAAATTTGGAATGCTGATACCTTATATTGCCGGTCAAACAAAAAGTTACTTTTTATCCCGGAAAAATGAGCGGTTCCCGTGAGGTAGATCCGTTTGTGCTTTTTTAGAGGCGAACCCGATCGAAGCGAGGGTGAGCCACTAGTTGATGTACTAAATGTGAGATCGGTGCGTTTGGTGACTAAGTTGAAACTATTTCTGTGTGTGTGCCACATTTACATCGTGGCATGAATTTGAGCATAGCTTTTAAGTTAATTCAAAATAATGTAAGTTGTCGAAATTAAATAGTCATTATTATTCATTAAACCTAAATTATAAAACAAATTCCCATGGAACTATTTTCTTAGAAATTACAATTGTGTTATAGCCATTTAAATATTATAATGCATATGCAGTCTATATATCACAATTTATACACTTTTCTACGAAATTTTAGCATACGTATCATATTATTAATTACTAACATTGTTTTTTGAGGGTAACCCCAAATGTATAAGTAGCTAAAGTAGTCGTTCGGTCGAGTTATTATGGCCCGCCGTCTAAAAATATATCGTTTCCCCGAGTCGACAATCGTGTTTTACAGGATAATGACTCATGAGGCAAGCTGATCGTAACACAAAGCTTGAATGTATCGTAGACAATAGAGGTGTATACAGTGAACACCAACAAAACAGCACGTGCTGTTTTTTAAACAATTCCGTTGTTAACGGAAACTAACCTTGTGATATGATTTGTACTATTCTTATTATAAGTGGAATAATTGCTGTTATTAAAACTGTGAAATTATCTTTTAAACATATTTAATTAATAAATATTGATATTTTTTCAGGTCCACTTTCTGTGAAAATAAGTAACTGTGACTACGTGTCTCTGGAAGGAAAAGTATTTTCGTGGCTCTTATTCATTAACATTGACAATGTTCGTCAATTAGAACTTGGGGTTGGGACTTTTGTGCTTGATCCAACTGCAGCAAACGTTGGAGAACACGGACCAGGAATGTCGGTGAGAATTAATATGAGTTATCTTATTAAGCCAATGATAAAGTTTAATTGTATTGCAGCGAGCGAATCAATTTAATTTATTTAGTAAATTACACACACACACACACATATATATATATATATATATATATATATATATATATATATATATATATATATATATATATATATTTTATATAATAAAATGCTAAGCGAATTGATATTTTACAATAAACTATTTATATATAAGAAATCTAACATAATCGTCTTATCATAGTAAATATTGCTTTACATTTCAGATACGCATGAGAAAAGTTACAATAACAGATTTCCCGGAACAAACATTCGGATCATCAGCAGCTTTAATCTCTTTTGAATCTGTCCATGTGAATACTGTCCACGGGGGAGCTTTCGCTGCCAATACTTACAACTTGATAGTGGCAATCAACTGCACCTTTAATCTCCTTAAAGGCGAATCTTTTGCACCAAAATCACTTATCAATAATTTACATTTTTATGGATGTAGAGTTGAGAAATTTTCGTCAAAATCATTGCAATCTGCGGTGGCGAATCTAAATATTACACGATCCAGGTCAGTTTTTAGGATGTTAGCTGTTGTTCTTAGAAAAATACTTTTTTTATTTTTTGTTGCTATTTTATTTGCTTATTTTGAACTTTAGATTTTCGTTATTTTTATTACAGATTTGAAAACATAGAAACAGGCGCTATAAGCGCCACTGTAGTTGCTGTTGTAATTGTAGATAGTATATTTAATATATTTAGTGAAAAAGGGTTTGAGTTATCATCATGGAACAAACTTCAAATGGAGCGAAATACTTTTGACGAATTAGCTGCCAATGCCATAGTCGCTCCTGGTGAATCAATTCATGAACTGACATTTATAGAAAATGAAATCGAGACGATTAATCCTAATAGTCTTCGATTCATAGGGCAGGCATTTGCGAAAGATGCAAATAATGTCATTTATAGAAGCAATTATTTCGGTCAACCTTGTAATTGTAATATAACTTCTTGGCTTGCGCAAGGATTAGGTGCAGTATCTGGAACGCCATTTGAAAATGAAAGCTATTGTACTGTTAACGAATTTTTTGCTCGTTGTTTTAATGTACCTGAGCAGAATATGTTATTCAAAAAATTTTTTGATAATGTATGCAACGATAAGCCAAATATTCAATGTGAAACGTATAAAAGTCAAGATTTGGGAACTGCTACAGAAATAAAAAATCCCAGATTTCCTCATAAGAAAGAAGGACTAGAGGGTATTAGCGAGAGAGATAAAAAAGTCATTGGTATAGTAGTTGTAACTATTATAGGTTGTATAATTATTGTTATGATAATAAGCTTTATAAGATGGATGAGGCGAAGAGGTTATTGTGTAAATTTGAAAAATTTTATTTCTTCTAACTCTTCATGTGGAGCTCTCTGCGATCGCTTGGGTATATGCGGGTTAAGTAATGGCCTCGACAATGCAGGTTCTATTTCACAGTTATCTGTAAACGAATATTCTGAAAGACATCGTCTTAACGAACCACGTGTGCAAGATATGATTCAAGAAACCACTGTGCCAAATTCATTTGCCGCTGATGTTGGTATGGAAAACAAAACGACTCAGACATTACCCGAAGAATTAACAAAAGAGTTATTAGAAAATTTAAAAGAAAAGTTGGAAGATCCTGAAAATTATGTAGAGGCACGGGAAATGATAGAACATCTATATGAACTTATTAAAGTCGAGGAAAGTTGTAATAATAATACTCCTATTCTATTAAATGTGGAAGAAAATATTTATGAATTACCATTCCAGAACACAACACCACGAATAGGGAAAAACAAGAAACAGATGATAAGTGTGGGAACTCGTACACCTTCACTTGACAAACTAACACCCCTTTCACCTTACAATAGGCAAACCGCCTTAGCCCATGAATATTTTGAACCAAAAGATTTTGCTGTACATCTATACGCTGAAATAGCAAACTCTGGTAAAGAAAAGAAAAATTTTTTAGGCGTTATGCCGGATGTAGTCGCCGAGCAAGCAGTTCCACGAGGGCCTTATTTACGGGCTGTACATGAAAAAATGAACTCTAGCAATTCTAGCCCACAAACTAAAGCAATGAGCACCGCTATGCCTTGCTCTCAAATATCAACGATAAAATCAAACATATCAACAACTTCAAGTTCTTCTAATAAAATGATAAACAGACCATTGCCTGAAAAGCCTGTTGTAGCTGCTGATCCAGGAGAGGGGACATCATTCCGACATGGCTGAGTTTTAAATATCAGATATTACTCAAATTAGTCTGAGACCATATCCATTGGTTTATCTCAATAAAGATCTCTAAACGAATATCTGTGACAAAGGTTAGATCACGCCTCAAAAGAATTCGTGCGATGTTTGCTTAAAGTTTCTTTGCTGTGATATTTAGTTTGTTTATTTTTAAATAATTATTTCGATACGTGTATTTGTCTTATGCCAGACATTTGTTTAGATTTTATTTGTAAATATTTTTATTATAATATTTAATTATAAGTAATCTCACTGAGTGGACGTCCTTATAACTAGAATAGAAAAAAAATCTAAATTAATTTGTACGAAGTCTTTTATCGCACAAAGCTGATTTTTATTTTTTTTTAATGATTTTAATACAGATTACTGTTATTTATGTTGTGTAAATACTAATAAAATATACCAAATTTCAGTTACCTGCATATAATTTTAAAAAAATGACATGCTTATAACATTTGATAAAAAAATGCTTATACATATAAAAGGAATATCGTATAGTTAAATTTACCCTAAATTATTTAACTCACTATCGTCCCAAAGGTTAGTGAATGGTTTTAGAGTCTTTTTACATTAGACATTAATAATAAAAAATATTTATAATATATTTTATATAAGTTTATAATAATATATAATATACAATTATGGACTTCAACTTTCTAACGTCTCGGAGTGTACCCTCTCAAATATTGCCAAACTTCATGTATTTCGTAGGGAAATTACTTTCTCTAACAAGATGTCTATTCCGATAGTATATGATATTATTGTATTATATAAGTGTAAGAATCCAGTAGTTATTTAATAAACTCATTCACCTGTCGTATTTAACGTAGTCATATAATAATTCATATAAATGCACGTATGTTTTCATTCAACAATACTCTGCGATACCAATTTTTGTTGTTTATAAATTATACATATTTCCTATAACAATTGTATCATATGTACCGAAATGATTTATTTATATTTTATCATTTTAAATATTATTAAATTGAAATGTTTCAATCAAGAAATTAATATATAATTTTTATTTTCTATAAATGTTAGGAAGAAAATATCTTACACAATTGAAAACGTAATGAGGTTAGTCAAATTTTAAATGTATGTTATTCCATTGATGTTGCAAAAGAAATAAATGTTACATGTGATTTGATATATTTTATTTCTTAACCGTTTCCCTGTCCCATGAGTAATATATGAACATTTCAATTGTTTATCTATTGTGTCTATTTTATATAATAATTTACGGTAGAGTACAAGTGTTTCCAAAACTACCTTACAGATTTTAATTTTTTACAAGAAATTCAATATATATAACATGAAAGCTTTTTTTAAAATGGAAACCACATGACAAAGAGGGCATCACATTCTCTCTTGATGTTAACGATCATTTTTAGGGTTTCCATATCCGAAAGGTGCCAAAGCAACATAGATTTGTAAATACCCATGTTTTAAAAAATGGAAAACAACCATATTAGGAAGAATGGCTAGATAGTTTTACCCAGATCATGGTGATGGCGATGCGGAAATATCGGAAACAAAGAAAACAAAGTAAAATCAAAGTAAATATTTACTTTTCACAAAAATTAAAAAAGGATATAAATACTAAGTATAAAACCTCAAGCAAAGAATAAGTAACTGACCCAATTGTACGTTAGAATCGGGTTTGGTTTGGTTCGGGAATTTGGAATACAGGTAAAACTCTATTTCATTATTTTATGTTTAAGAAAAAAAACGGTTAATTTGCGCCTATGACGCCTATGTGCCAAATTTTATGACAACCGGTGCTACTTTTCCGGTAAATCTGCAAGGCATTCACAAGTAACATAAAGATTCCTCGATCATAAGACTTTTGACTTACTAAATTTATTTTCTTCTTATTTATAAACATTTACTCTTAGGCCGCCGTTTTCTCGCCGCTTGACCCTAGATTGTATAATGTATACCTTAAATTGTTATGCCATGAAAAGTGCAAAAATGTTGCAAAAAGTAACCCATAGTCCTTTCCACAACTACGTGTGCCTGTTTTAAAATATAGAAAAGTAAGCAAAGTCAGAAGAATGACTTGTATTAAACATAAGCAAGAAAGACAACACTGGGTTAGTAAATGGGTAAAAACTGAAAATAATCTTCGTGTATATCTTTATATATATAATTCTTCTGTGAGTGTGTATGTCACTGAACTTCTCTCAAACGACTGGACCGATTTTGATGAAATTTTTTGTGTGTGTTCAAGGGGATCTGGGAATGGTTTAGATTCACAATTTGAATAATAATTTTCTTCAAAAAAATTATTAAAAAAAGTTTGAAATTTTCAAATTAAAGACGTGTAGACAGGACAACGTCTGTCGGGTCCGCTAGTAAATATATAGAGTTCTTCTGTACGTGTATTTGTTACCTTATTCCTCCTAAAGGACTGGACCGATTTGGATGAAATTTTGTGTGTATATCTCAATGGGCTCCTGGAAGGTTTGAAAACACAATTGGTCCCGATAGATGACGCTGCAGTCGGTATTTTAAAGTTTGTTTTTTAGTAGTTTGAACGCGGACGAAGCCGCGGGTACTGCAAATATGTAATATCACGCTATTATTATTAGTGCGAACCTTCATCCCCATTTTCACCCTCTTAAGGGATGATTTCCGGGACAAAAAGTATCCTATATTCTTCCCAGGGCCTCAAACTATCTTCTTACCAAATTTCATCTGAATCGGTTTAGTAGATCCAGAGATTACTCCTACTCCCTACAACGTCACAAACTCACAATTTCAAAAACTCACAAACTTTACCTCTTTATAATATTAGATAAACTAGTCTCGCCTTTTCGAGTTGCTTTTAATTTAATTTTTATTATATGTTCTAGTGATGTAACGAATATAAATGCATTCGTATTCGCGAAATTTTTGCCATTCACATTCGCAAGAAACGATGCGAATGTTTGGCGAATGTGTTTGAGAAACAAAAAGGAAATTATATATAGAATGGATGGATATGAAATGATAATATTTTTAACTGTTAATAACAACTGTTTTTATATAACTTTATCACTTTTGAATAGATATTAGTTAAATTTGACAAATGCAATAATACTAAACCCTCAAGTCACAACAACATATCTTTTCGAGTGAACTTTATGTGATTAACTTCGTTCATTCAACCTGTATCGGCTGTTCGGTTTAAACATGGCGGACATGAAATGTCAAACCTTTCTGTTTAACATTTTGCGCGCGCTTCATTTGAAAGTCAACATTCGCATTCTCATTCGTATTCACGAATATTGGTGATGAATATTCGCATTTGCATTCGTAATCGCGAATGTGAAAAATCGAACATTTGTCAGGTACATCACTAATATGTTATACGCCATGAACGTATAAATGTAACAAAAACACTTTTAATGACTCGCAACCACTTTTGCGGCCACTTTTACATAGGCAGACGTAGTTTATCAGGTACAGAAAAAAATTAGCTTTAATTTGATGTATAAATGATGAACATACGCGATGAACGTATAAACGTCCCAAAATATGACCCGCTTACACCTGGCTGCGATGAGGTTGCGGCCAAATGCGCAACGGCAGCTATCATTTTTCATGATCTCTACATAAAGTTCTGTGAAATGGAGTATAATTCATTGTAATAACAAGTGCATCGTTTTTATTCCAAAAAGTCAACTATTATTTAGTTAATTAAACATACTAGCGGGCACATTTGAATAGGCACCCCGGTCAAAACATATTGTCCCTTTTATTATTGTATATAAAAAATTGATTTCGATTAAATACGCTATGAACGTAGTAATCTTGCAGTGGGATCTCGATCCATACAAGGAAGTACGGCTCCTATTTATAATATTTATTTGTAATAAAAATATTTATTTTATATTCACTTTTATATTTAACTAGCGACTCACCCTCGCTTCGCTCGGCTTCGTTCCTGGCTTGCTTCTCCATACAAACTTTCATTCCCATTCTCACCCCCTCAAGGGATGATTTCCGGGATAAAACTATTTCACTCACTCACTTTTCATATCAGCTTTAAAAAAACTTATTTTAGTAAAAACAAATTCTTTTAATTTTCTTCTATACAAAGCTTGTCCTAACAATAACAAACACAAAAAAAAAGAATTATCCAATTTGGTGCAGTCGATCGGAAGTTATGCGCGTACATACATTTCAGTGATTCATTTTTATTTATATAGATATTAAAAATCTTAACTAGAAACTACCATAATTGGAGTACATATTAGACTCAGTTCAGCAATAAAGAGAACGAGACGTTTTAAAAATATAACATCCGGTGCACAGTCGTACGCCGACCAATAGCAGTGCGTAGAAATGAGCTTCGATAACTATATTTAATTGTTAAGTTTCTATTTATCTTATAACTAGTAAAGTATGTATTTGTTAATAAATTTCGTTATGAAAGTTTTGTATTAACGTCTAAGATACAAACATACAGATGAAGTAAGTTAGAAGCCAAGATATATTTAAACTATAACACAATAACACTCTAGTCGGTGTACAGTGTGTACGAACACAAGTAATAAGTAACAAAAATATATAAATGTATTTTAATACAATATGTAATGGATTAATATTCTTTCCTTACTAGGCTGAAGCCCATATTTATATAATAATCATATCTACGTAGTACATACAACGTATTGTCAAATATATGTACTGGAGTGAATAAGCTCAAGCTTTCAATAGGTGTGGCTAGAAACAGATTAACAAAATTTTGAAAAATGAAAATAGTTGCTTAGGCGTCTTCTACGTAAGATTGATTGTTTAAAAATTATTATAAGTACGTCATTCTTTTGTTGTACTCATTGATTTAGTTACATATTATCATATAAATGTAATAAATATCACGCTTACCTTTATTCCTTACCTTAAAAGCTCTCTGATTATATGTCAGTTAACAAATACTTAACCGTACTATTTACGTCTTCTATAACCTTGTTTATAGAAGACATAAATAGAATTTAACTTGCAATCACAAAAACTTAAAACAACAGATAGGTACTGTGAGTAAAGATCAAGTAAACACACTCTTAAACAGTGTGGAGGTACATTACATAGGAGTAGTTACGTAACATTTTGACCAGTATAAATCATGTCATATCTACGAGTATTATACAAATGAATTATAAACTATTAATATGAAAAATTCTTCAAATAATATATTTAGTTCATATTCATTTTTTTTATTATAGCGATTTAAGTTAACAAAATCGGGGGGCACGGAGTGCCCCCGCCAAGTCGAGCAAAAAAGGGCACGACAGTACCATCCTTTTCTCGAAGCGATTCAGAGCATTTTCCACCCCCCCATAACTTCGTTATGGATTAAGCTAGAAGCCTGAATTTTCAGTGATTAAAAGAACATAATAAAACTAGGCATATTTCCAAATTACATTCAATTTGAACATGTAGTTTAAGAACTGCTGCAGATCAAAATTCGTTAATATCGTCACTCACACACTCACTCACTCACCGATCATCAAAATTCTAAGGTACTTCTAGCAGACATAGGAGCTTCAAATTTTTAACACAATTAGTGTTTAGGCTATAACGCAAGGAAAAACTCAAACATCATGCAATTTCAATCCTGTTTTCGAGATATACAAACTGCATAAGTAACTTTGTAATCCTATACAAATAGATATGCGATATATGGGATTACAAAGTTATTTTTGCAGTTCATACATATCATTTTTCGTCACTTAAACTACCCAAATGGATAGCTGGGTAAATAGTGGATATACTGTAAGTGTTAGTGATGACTAAAATGTAATTATCAATATTGTATATAGTTTTAAGAAATAATATGTTTAATATATAAATTAAAACATATATTGTAATAAAATTTATAATTAATAGTAAATTAATTAATTATACAATAGTTGCACTGTAAAAGGTGGTTAGGTTAGTGTTTGTAAACCTTTAAACCTATACGTATGTATGTTTGTATGTCCGATCCTATGTTCCCTCGTAATTACTAACCTAATTTCGATTCGTCTATTTATTAATGTTTATATATATATATATATATATATATATATATATATATATATATATATATAGTTGCAAACTATATGTATTAGAAAAGTATGTTTTAAATGCGAAAATAATATTTTAAGCTTTTTTAGTAGCTGTATAATTTTTATGCATATACAAATGGGTACATAAATGTAATGTGAAGCGAGTATAGTTTCTACCTACTAATATTCGATTACTGTTATTTATAATGAATTGATTAAAATATATACCTAATTAAGAAACAACTTGACGATTACTTAATTTTGAAACAAAGCTCGTACATTTTCTTTTACAAAGTATGATGTTGATATGAATTAGAAAACTTGTAAACGTAAATTTCATTAGAATATATGAATGGAATGAAAAAAATAAAAATAAGATATCGGATATTGAAAAAATAATATTTAATTTCACTAATGGAAGGAAAAAATAGTGTAAATTTAATTATTTAAATTAAATATTATTATTATTATTTTAAAAAAAAAATTACCTCAATTATATATTCTAATGAAATTTACGTTGACAAGTTTTCTAATTCATATTATATCGTGTATTCATTTATCGTATTGCCCCGAGGTGATAAGACACAGAGCGATTCTCGCTACGGAATCACCCGAGTCTTCGATTATACATATAATATTTTTTTATATTTGAGATCTTGTAGCAACTGAGAGCGGCTTTCGCTACGGTATTGCTCCGAGGTAAAAGAAAAATATATAGAAAATTTTATAACAATTTTATTGTGACTAATATTTAAAATCTGAAGCTGGGATAAGTGGTATAAATAAATAAATTAAATATAATAAATTGTAGGGATCCTTCATATTTACCGTAAAATGAATGTTGCTATGGAATCTGAAATACTGTACATAAATGACGATCCTTGTCCACACCAGGTTATCCCTATACCTGGAGATGGTTCATGTTTGTTTCATTCTTTATCATTCTCTATTTATGGGAATATTGAGTCGTCGTATGACATCAGGCGTGCTATAGTCGAGCATGTGGTAGCGCATTGGAATGAGATGCAACTTTATACTTGTGACGAGCATGGAGACCCATACATTAACGCTGATCTCTACTCGACGGAAATGCTGAAAAGTACTACCTACGGTTCTTTATGCGAACTTAAAGTGGCCGCTGCTTTATATCCATTTACTTTCGAGGTCTATGAAAATGGCCGTTTGAGAGGATTATTCGGTGGTGATCCTGGGAAACCAGTGAAACGTTTACGATTCTCTGGTAGTTTCTTAGGAGGTCATTACGAAGTGCTCCTTCCTTATTCTACGTCCTCTGGACTATCTCCTAATAATTTATTAAACAAACATACTGAATACTTACCTAAAAAGGGAGGAAGACCTAAAAAGGTTAATAGAGGAAAACCTAAAACTTCTAAGCTATCACGTTCTCAACAAATCAGAGAAGCAGCTGCTCGTTATCGCCAAAACACTCCTGAAAAACGCAAAAAGACATTGGCACGTTACAGTTCCTCACATCCGGAGGTTAACAGAGCATCTGTAGTGCGTTACACTGCTTCTCATCTGGAAGTTAACCGAGCATCTGTAGAGCGATACACTGCTTCCCATCCGGAAGTTAACCGAGCAGCAGTAGCACGTTACACTGCTACTCATCCGGAAGTTAACCGAGCAGCAGTAGCACGTTACACTGCTACTCATCCGGAAAAACGTCGAGAAGCTGCAGCACGTTACAAAGATTTACATCCTGACGTTAATCTCGAATCTGTCCGAAGGAAAAGATTAAACGAAAAATTACAATTTCGACTAAAAAATTTGGAAAAATTTACTCAAGCATTAACAAATAAAATTCAGGACAGATTAGAAGCAGAAAAACTAATTAAATGGGTAGTTCACAGTAGACAGCAGGCTCTAGTTAACTTTAGTAAAACTATTGATAGATTAAAAGATAAATTTAAAATATCGTTAGAAAAATTGAACGCATGCCCTGCAGATAGTATTTTACATGACAAGTTAGAAGCTTTTCTGGGAAAATCGGAGCATAGAAATAACCAAGAGCCATATTACGCACAAGAAGCATACAAAGTGTTTGAAACTAAAGATAAAGCTATCGCAATTGACAACACAGGAAAAGCAGTCTTTGGGAATGTCAAAAAACATGGCAAAGGTCTAGTTTGGTCTTGTAATGATCTATGCACACTAGATGAGAACGTCATTGTACAACTAAGGACAATTTTCGAAAACTTAGCAAACAAAACTGCCGTCCAATATTATGCATTAATTGAACAAGAAAAACTAATAGAATTTTTAATTAATATCAATACTTTTAAACCGCATTTTCCTCGCTTACGAACCATTTCAAGAGAAATGTATCAAATACAGAGCATTAGTAATCTTTTAAAAGATATTGATGCATCATTAGAAAAATCTGACGTAGAAAAAATTAAAAAATATGGAAAACAACAAAATATTGGCAGCATTGCTATGGAAAATGAAGAGTCACATGAAATCTTAGAAGATGAGGTCATAGATAAACATAAGGCCGCGTTCAAATCTTTAAAATTAAAGTGTCTTGATACTCCAAAAACCGAGTGCATGTCATGTATGAAACTTTGCTATTCAAGACATCTTTCAGCTCTGAATAGATTAAGAAAACCTATAGACGCTAGTGTTTGGAAAAATCTTCTAAATTTTTACAAAACAAATAATTTAGATCACAGCCCATACATTTGTCATTCATGCTTAGAAAAAATTAGAGTAAACCAACTGCCATCAACCTGTATTCTTAATGATCTATACATTAGTGCTATTCCACCACAGATAAATGAGCTAAATGATTATGAAAAGATATTAATTCAACGCGCCAAAGCATTTCAGGTGATAATGTTAATGAATCCCGTCGCAAACAAATATTTACCTAATAAGAATATGGTGAAAAAAGTAAAAGGCAGAACTTTCCACCTTCCGTTACCGCTTGAAGAAACAATGAAAAAGCTCCCTAAACCAGAACACCCGATCACTAATCCTGAACTATATATCATGGTACGAGGTACGCCGACAAAATCAAAAATAGTGTGGGAAGACATTGTAGATGTCAACAAGGTTTACCAAGCGTTACAATACCTAAAAGGTGTAAATGCTCTTTACTCACAAATACAACTTCCACATTCACCTCAACAATTAATTAGCTATATTAATGAAGAAGACAATTTGCATCATATTATAGATCGATCAGAATTTCAAGTAGATAACAATATTGTAGAAGAAGGAAACGGTGCTATACTAACCCAAGTTACCTCACAAAAAAAAATTGACTATGAACAATACACAATTTACCCTTTGCACGAAAGAAGAAGAAACGCTCCCATTTCAGAACTCTATCAAATGCTTAAAGTCAATGCTGCTCCAATTGATTCCAGAGATAAAGATTTAGATGTAAAATGCTTCCCTGATCTTTATGTAGAAGGTAAATATGGTCAGTTTCATGTTCGGCAACAAAAGTTGACGTCTAGTGAATTTATTAAAGCTAGATTAATGTCAAAGCACTCTCAGTTTCGTCTAAATCAACAATACCTCTTCTTTTTACTAAATGATTCTAATATACGTCAAATAAATGCAGGCATATTCTATAAAATGAATTGCGTTAATCATAGAGAAAAAATGACTGTTGAACAGTATTTTGAGATGCTTAATAAAGATGAATTAGAAGGTGACTTAACTGCGATATTTGGCAGATTAAGAAATACGGAACAATTCTGGAAAAAACCAAGAAACGATGTCAACTGTATGACACAACATTACGGGCCAGCAACTTGGTTTCTTACCATAAGTCCTTCAGAATGGATGTGGGATGATTTAGGTGAATACCTCAAGAATGTTAATAGTCCGGAAATGGCGAACAAGAGCATCAATGAGTTAGTTGCACTAGATCCTGTCTCCACTTCCCGATTTATTGATAACAAATTCAAAGCTATGTTGGATTTCATTACGTCATCCGATGAGCCGCTTGGCAAAGTAATACATTACTTTTGGAGACGTGAATACCAATCACGTGGGGCACAACACTTTCATTTAATTTTATGGGTTAAAGACGCCCCAATACTTCACGAGTCCTCTCTTGATGAGGTTGCATCATTCATTTCAAAATACATTACTTGTGCTATACCTAACAAAAATCTTTCACCAATACTTCATCAACGAGTTACGTCGTATCAAACCCATAAACATAACAATTATTGCATGCGAAAAAAGAAAACAAGAACAGGTTTTATGTCAGTTTGTCGATTTGGATTCCCACGCCCGGTCACTGAAGTACTTACCATTAGAGATATCATTGAATCAATAGCTGCAAGAAAAACGTTGTCATCTAACAGCAGACTTTACAATATTGTGCGCAAAAGAGAGTGGGTAATGGTTAATGATTATAATCCTGCAACTTTGCTAGCTTGGAATGGAAATACCGACATCCAATACGTTGGCGAAAAAACTGCTATTTTGAATTATTACGTCACTAAATATACAACTAAAAGCGAGAAAACTCACGTAACTGATATGTTTCAGGACATAAACTCAACAAAACCTTTAAGAAGCCGTTTATTTAACTTTGGTCTTAGAGTTTTATCAAGCAGAGAATGTGGCTCTCTAGAAGCTAGTGATACTTTACTAGGTATTCCTTTGTACGGAACTGATCGTACAACAACAATTCGATGGCTAGATGTGAACATTTATCGAAACCGGCGCGTTAAATCTAAAGCTGAAATGATGATGCTCGAACCAGAGTCCACTGATATTTATTACGAGTCTTGGATTGATGACTACTACCCTAAAAGGCCTAAAGAGTTGGAGACTACTAACTTGTACAGTTTCGCTCAAAATTACGACATCGTCAAATCACATCCGGTCTCTACCAAAGTTGAGTGCTATGAGTTAAATGTTGGTAAAAAGTTTCTGAAAAAAAGGGATAAGCCATATCTTATTAATCACTATTTTTACGACGTAGAACAAGTACCAGAGAAGTACTTTTTCTCTTTACTTCTTTTGTTCAAGCCATGGCGTTCCTTAAATGAACTAAAAATGGGGTGTGAGACTTATACGGAGGCCTTTAATTTGGCAAAAGAAAATTTAAAAGAAGGAGTTGATTATGGTAATTCAAGAATAGAGTTAAGATATAAGATACAAAAGGCATTTGAAATGATAGAAACGAAAGTTGCCGAGATAAACGAAGAGCGAGAAATCGCCAATGATGAAGAGGGTCCCGAAAATCCTTTAGACTTTGAAGCTTTAGAGGCTGCAAACGTAATGGACGACTTTCACAGACTCAATCTGGTAGAATATGAGCAGCCTGATGTAGATCTTCAAACTATGATGACAAAGCTTAATGCCGATCAAAAGAGAGTGTTTGAAATGATTACAAATAAAATGATGAGGACGGATAATGACGCTGACGTTTTGCGTTGTTTCGTGAGTGGAACTGGTGGCACTGGAAAGAGCTTTTTGATAAAGACGCTGAAAATTTGGGTACAAAGGCATTTAAATAAAAAAGTGGCCATTAGTGCTCCGACAGGAATAGCTGCATTTAATGTGAATGGATTGACTATACATAGACTATTGCAACTGCCTGTGGAACATAAGCAAACACCTAAGTACAAGTCACTTTCTGATGAAGTCCTGAAAATTCTAAGGTCAGATTATGGTGAAGTAGTGTTATTTATCATAGACGAGGTATCAATGATATCCAATGTTACTCTGACATATATTCATTTACGTTTGTCCGAGATATTCGATACCGGCGACGATGAAAATGGGTGGTTTGGGAAAAAACACATTGTAGTTTTCGGGGATCTCTTACAGCTTCCGCCTGTAAGAGAAAAGTCACCTTTTGAAAAACTTTCGACCGGTGAAATTAACAAACTTTTGGGCTCCCTCAGTCTACCCAATCTATGGGCTGAACTGTTTATATATGATGAACTTACCATAAATATGAGACAGCTTAATGATTCTGACTTTGTTGAAATGCTTAATAGAATAAGATTAGGTGTAACTACACAAAAAGACCGCGACTTACTCTGGACTAGATTAATAACTCTTAATTCTGATTCAAATGAAAGCAGATTACGTGAAATTACTGAGTACCTCTCCAAACTTCCTGATGATACCGTTTGCATATTACCTATAAAAAACATGTGCCAACAATTAAACAGTGCAATGCTTAAATCTCTCCCAAATAGCGAAATAAAACTTAAAGCCGTAGATACCATAGATTGCCCCAGATACCTATCAAAAAGAGCCCGTGAATGCATAAAAAAATATGAAGACGATGCTTCCATGACAGCAGGTCTGGAAGAGAATATAATTATAAAAATAGGAGCAAAAGTCATGCTAAGACGAAATATTGATGTAAGTCTTGGCTTAGTTAACGGTTCCATAGGTATAGTACAAGGAGTAAAGGTTGATCCTGAAAATACAACAATAATTAAAAAAATACATATTAAATTTAATAACGAACATGTTTACGAGCTTGGTCCAATTAAAACTAAATTTGAAATTATAAATAGAGCTTATGTTCATCGCGAACAGTTTCCAATATGTATAGCCTATGCTATTACTATACACAAAAGCCAGGGGTTAAGTCTAAAAAACGCATTGGTAGACATCGGTTCTTCAGTATTCACATGCGGTCAAGCGTACGTGGCACTTTCGAGAGTGACAAGTCTGAGCGGTTTACATCTAATTAATATCCATTTTAGTAGTATTAAAGCTCAAGAATCCGCTATTTCCGAATACAACAGACTAAGAAGCATATACCGTCCAGATTTGTCAAAACTTGTTGCATCAAAGCCTCTGAAAAAATCCCACAGAGATAGAGAGTGGGCTTTAAGAAAGTCCGTAGCTGATGTGCAAGAAATAGTTCATGAAAAGAAAAAAAGAAGAAATATTTACAAAAAGAAATGAGATCCCATCAAAAACATACTGTAAAAATATTGCAAGTCTCGCAACGCATTTCTACTACCTCAAAAAGCTATGAGATATAATGTAAAACCAAGTCGGTTAATTTATTCATTACCTATCTATGGAAGCATCTATCCGACAACTTTGTCATAAATCGTTACCGAATTAGTTAAGTTACAACATTTTATAATGACCGTATTAATATTAGATATATTTATTTCTTTAATTAATAGAATGACTTGGCCATCGCACGGAAACATAATCAAATAAGAGTCTACTACTTTAAATAGTCCTAATTAAACATATCATGACCAAGGCGGACGGACGACTTGGTCAAAGTCGCTGGAGCCCACTGTATGCGGATGGCACAAGACTGGTTGTCGTGGAAATTTTTGGGGGAGGCCTATGTCCAGCTGTGGACGTGTTTGGGCTGAGATGAACTGAACATAGCACTAGCGGGTCAAATTTATGCATACACTAATATAAATAATGCACTCAGAACGCTAGTATGAGGTAAATTTTGTTATTTGTAGGTTCTATTATCATGTGCGATGGCCAAGTCATTCTATTAATTAAAGAAATAAATATATCTAATATTAATACGGTCACTATAAAATGTTGTAACTTAACTAATTCGGTAACGATTTATGACAAAGTTGTCGGATAGATGCTTCCATAGATAGGTAATGAATAAATTAACCGACTTGGTTTTACATTATATCTCATAGCTTTTTGAGGTAGTAGAAATGCGTTGCGAGACTTGCAATATTTTTACAGTATGTTTTTGATGGGATAATTTATACATATATAACATAGAGCTTTGAATAATTTAGGATTTTTTTCATAAATATCTTAATTCAGCTTGACACTTTCGTAAAATATTCGAATCGTAGATACTTTTAGTTGATCGATAAAGAACATTAAAACAATATATAATAAATATGTTGGGACATTAACACACAACACAAAGTTACGAGGCTTGTGTTATGGATACCAGATAGTTGATACACTACAAATATATAACTTTAAATACATACATATTATAAATATAAACACCCATGACGGAAGTACAAACATTCACGCTCATCACACAAATATCCCCAGCGGGACTCGAACCCGCGACCGCTGGCACAGAAAGTAAGGTAACTACAAACTGAGCCAAACGTGACATCATATGCATAATAGGAACCTGTTTTATATTTCAAATAAACGGGGTAAATGTCCCTATTAATATTTGTTACGAAATTGAATAGATGCGGTAAAGAATGTTTCTGAAAGACTTCAAATACCTATTTCAGTATTTAATCATAGATCGATAAATATATATATTGACCACACAAACATGCACGAAGGTCGCGGACTTATGCTGAGTTTGTTTGTGCCGCCAGCGCCACACGCACCGGTTCGTCACACACCGGTCACGCCAAGAGGGAAGGTTCCAAGTAGCGCGAGGCGCGAGCGCCGAGCGCTCAGTCTCTACCGCAGTAACTGACGCGGCGCGTGCGTTCTTTTTGCTGTCTGCAATAGACTTTACCGCTAATGAAATTACATTATTTTCATACACCACGTTAAAAATTATGTTATTTTGTGTTTAACAGAACTCTCACTACAAGATAATAATTTATTGTGCTGCTGATGTAATTACTCCACTTGACCCATTCTATTATGAGGTTGGTATTTATATTTCCAATTTTATGATATTACAAATGAACGTAAGTATTATACCGGAAAACTTGGCATATAATCAATGTCTCGACGATAAAGCATGTGCTACTTGAAAATAATGAACACTCACCTGCTTAGTAATGTGACTGTGGTTCTTTAAAATTATTTAGAAGATATCATAATAATTGTCGGAGACATCTATAACAATTCTTAAATATTACTTATAGAAGCCCCAAAATTTGAGTTTGATAAATAATAATTATTATAAAGCGTAGTTACTAGCGACTGGCGAGGAAAGATTTTAAGGCGTAAAATAAGTAATAATATACTTTGCATATATACGTTAATAATTTTGCCTGTGTGCCTCTAGAACAATATTAACAGTTATAATATGTTTAAAAGTACTTGTTTGTATAATAACACTTAAGTGTCAAGAGAATCTACGTATGAACTAAAATTACGTATATAACAAGCATCACGTAAAACGTGTAATTTCTAGACTCCGTTCTCGTATAGAATTTACGCAGACTAAGATTACGTCAGCGATATTATAGCTATTATCTAAATTAATTATTGAGTTTAGTTTTTCCTTCTATAGTGCTATAGTCAACTTATATCATACTAGCGACTCACCCTCGCTCCGCTCTGGTTCGTCTTTACTTACGTGTTATCGTTTAGCATAGATTTCTCAGAAATTCAGTAAAAATTATCCTATATGATGATTCGGATAACCAGCATACCAAATTTCATCAAAATCCCTCCAGTGGTTTTTCCACGGTGCGATAACAGACAGACAGACAGACAGATAGACAGACAAAAATTCTAAAAACTATAGATTCGGCCTCTGTATCGATAATTAAGTCTATTTTAATAAGATTTTCCAAAAAAATTTTAGTTACAATCTATATACATATAATAAATGACCATTAATTTCTATAGTATTTAACGTAGGATGAGCCGTTCTGGAGATATTGAATAAAACGCGTTTTTTTTCTATACTGACTGGACTATATTTAGAAAAGAAATAACAATAGCACTTGTAACCTACACTACACTACCTTTGAAGTGTAACAAATCTATAAGAAAATGTTTCTACTTGATTTACACTTTATATTCAATACAAACTCATTGTTTTGCAAATTATTGTTTATTTTTTACGGCTTTTTCCGCTAGCGCTAACTTCTCAAAAATAAACGATAAAGAACTAAGAAAATTATGTAAACAACAAATGACTACAAAATGTTTATAAAAAAAAATATCTCGTATTTCTTCTTAAGTAGGTACTTGTCTACTACGTTAAGATTTCAAGAAATGTCTAATGTTTTTTAAACAAAGACTGTAATGTAATATGTAGGTACTATGCTTCGCTTTCATCGCCTGTGCACCGGTCATGACTTTTGTATATAAACAATAATCACATTCAACGACGTTATTTATGAACGAAATGTAAATATATAATAATCTTAAAACTCAACGATATTGATGTAATAAAGTTTTTGAACAATAAAGTGAAGTGAAGATTCATTAATAAAGGTCTAGCTAATAACTTAGTTCCTCGGTTATGATATAAAAAAATCGTACAATATCATTGAGCATTTCTGTCATTATCACATAATTAGAATATAAACATTAAACATTGAATTATAACCATGATTGTATAAAAATTAAATCTATACGTCCCACTTCTGCTCTCGGGGCTCTTGTAACGAGAATTAGACCTTAGTGTACCACTAGTTGCAAAGTCACGACAAACTTTAATAAATTGTGTAATGTAATTTTATGTGAAGTCCGCCAACCTACACTTGGCCAGCGTGGTGGACTATGGCCTGGTCCCCCTCGTATTGAAGGCAGGCCCGTGCCTAGCAGTGGGACGTTAAAAAGGGTTGAATACAATAAATTTATGGGTTTGATTTAATTTAAAGTTTGTTTTATTATTTTCAGAGCATTTAAATAAAAGCTTGTATTTAAAAATGTTATTTAAAAATTTTCGCAATGGTAAATGCGTAATTATTTCAAATGTAGGTTAAACAATGGCAAGAGAAATATCGATAAGAAAGAGAGAGATAGAGATAAAATAACTGGATTATAAAAAAACTATGCTACCATGTGTGCATAATTTCCATCATGAGTTGAACAACCTTAAAGTTCAACCCAAATATACTAATTTACTTAACGAACAAAACTATAGATATCTCACTAAGAAAACCGGTTCTGCGCTAAGAACATTTTTTTAGAGTTCAAGTCTTAACAGGAGCGTTTTAGTAAATATCTATAATAATAAATAAAAGTATGCAATATTTTTATAATACCGTTTATGTAAATAATTTTTATCTTTGACGTAAGCCGAAACTGCTTATGAGTGTTTGATTTAGCGTGTTCATTAGGATTATAGTGTGAAAATAATTTTATATGTATAGATTTGATTAAGTTTATCCATAGGTATAAGATATACACGTAAAATATAAATAAGCCAGATGTAATATTTTAATATTAAACTAACTATTGTAACTTGTATCATTGTATATTTTAATTCTGCAAAATTTTATTGAAGGTACTAAACACTAGTAACTAAAAAAATAAGTATACCTAAGAATAAATGGTATTTGAATTTACTAGTTATTGTATGTAACGTAAAGCTGTAGTTTGATTGTTCCTAATAATAAAATATTCAAGGCTACTGGTAAGGCGATTGTAAAAGCTAGTTTAGTCCAAACTCAGATAAATTCGAGCATATGTCACGTTTTGGAAAATGGACGTAAATCCATTTATATAATATACTAGCGACTCATCTTCGCTCCGCTCGGGTAGAGTCAACTCTAGGTACGTTTTAGCGGTTAGTACCTATAGATTTCTCAGAGATGAGATATTTTCCAACAGTAAAAAGTATCATATATACCCGAATACCCAGCTATCATCGTACCAAATTTCATTAAAATCCTTCCAGCGGTTTATATATGTGTATATGTATATATATATATATATATATATATATATATATATATATATATTATTGATACAGATGCCCTTATAGTACTTACTTATTATTTCAATTATATAAATTTCCAAAAAGTATTTAATGTACAGTTTGGACTCATTTAGAATTTTATTATATGTATAGATTTAAAATCGTCAGTTAAATAGAAATGCTATTCAGAAGAAATGATTAAGTTGCTATAACTACTTCCCGCGAACCTACCTTGTAGGCTCGCTTATTCTACTTTGTACTTGTAATTAATAATATCGATTTATGTGAACATTTGCACTTAAGAAACTTAATAATATCAATTCTTCGACAATATATTATTTTCAACAATAATAAACTATAAAATTACTAAATTCAAACACACACAAGTAACTTGTTATTCTAATCTTGATTTGTTATTATTTTTTACAATTTCTTCTTAATACGTTATATACTTATACAACCAAATTTTAAAATGCAATACATATAGCAATCGTAAATTCTAAAACACAATTATTATTCTCCACTCTCACACTTAAGGTGTGGTAGCCCTATTTAAAAACTCCAATAGGATCCCATCAAAAGCGACAAAAGCCACATAGAAACCAATACATATTTATTGGTTTCTATGTGGCTTTTATCGCTTTTGATGGGATTTTATTGGTGTTTTTCAACAGGGGGGCTACTTACATGCTGAAAAGTCTCAATTTCAATAATCTACCGGTTTCCACAAGCCGAAGAAACAAAAATCGTCCATAAAGTTTAAAGCAGTTGCAGCTGTAGTGAAGTATGTATTTTCCACTCTGCGCTTCTTTTTCTTCCACTCTTCCTCTATGTCACACTCTCCTGCACCATTAGCGTACTACTTTACGACACCATGACGACAATACAGAAGGAAATCATAAAATTAAACCGTATTAAGTCCCTCCAAATAATCGACAGATTATGGGTCATCAGCACTAGGACATCAACCTGAACCGTCTATATAATAGTCTGACGTGCTCGAGTTTTTCAAAATAGCGATTTTTATTATTTTTTTTTTTTTTTATACTATTCCGAATTAGTGCTTGACTACGTTCCACCTGATGGTAAGTGGTAACGCAGTCGTAGATGGTAAGTCGCACTAATTCAGTAGCCACCTATTCAAACTTGCCTTGAAGACACCCATATTGTAATCGGACGGAAACACCGACGCAGGCAGGTTGTTCCAATCCTTAATCCTTATTGCATTTTCAAAAACCCACCACGACATTTTGCGTCACGTTCGAATCGTTAGTCTTTTGAATGGGAACGACTTTTAGGTTCACTTTACATCCCCTCTGAAAATCAGACGCTCGAGTATATATATATCTATACATATAATAAAATTCTAATTCTTCCGTGTTTTCCCATGGGAATTAGTTAATCTCCCGCGGTAAAAAGTAGCCTATGTCACTCTCCAGCCCTCCAACTACCTCCACACAAAATATCACGTCAATCCGTCTCTCCGTTTCGACGTGAAAGAAGGACAAACAAACAAACAAACAAACAAACACACTTTCAGGTTTATAATATTAAATATGGATAATATGTGTCATATAATAGTGACTATATTTTTACACTGACTGATTGCGTGAAGCCCAAAGGAGGGTTATGTGTTTGACCTGTATTGTGTTCATTACTAAACATAACGGAAGTGTCATAGGGTATATAGATATCATTAAAAATCATACATGTGTACATACATGTTTTATAATAATTGCGTGTGTGTATGTCTCAAACTGCTTAATATATATTATGTTCCTTCGTCAACTTGATTTCATCTTTTTAGTTTGCTTTTTACGCTATCGGTTTCTTTTGTTATTGGTATAATTAATTACATTTTTGAAGCCTGTACCCCATCGATAAAAGGGTATATAATATAATCATATAACCTTCTTTTCATTCTATCATTTAATCTTCAAAATCCAATAGGTTCCCACGACGCTTGAGGAAATCTTCATTTAACATAATGAGCTCCCCTACTATTAGTATGTTGTCACTGCATGAAATGCTAAAGTTTGCAAGTGAGAGTCCATTTTTATTACGCATCCACACACTGCACTGTGACGTTTAAAATTCTCCCGAGTAAAGGAGGCAAAGGGATGTAAATTTAAACAAAAACGAACGTGATAAAACTGCTTTCATTTAATTGGTTAAGGGTTTTTAGAATAATCAAAATATATATCTATATTTTATTTTAATAGTTGCGACGGTAGTTCTTAGTAATTTTAATTTATGTTATCCAAATAAATTTTCATAAAAATTCTTATATAATCTTGAATAACAGAGTATGTAAAAATGATTTTCTTCACACACATTCTTTATGTATGAATCACCGTTTCCTTTTAACTGAGTAATCTTTTTTGATACACACTTCGAGTTTTTTTTTTCAAAATCCATATTAATGTCATAAATGTAAAAGTTTGTGAAGATAAAGGAATGGATGTTTATAACTCTTTCATGCCAGAACGGCTGAACTGATCTAGATGAAATTTAGCGTAGAGATTATAGTCTGGAATAGCGCATAGGTTACTTTTTATCCCGAAAAAATTTACTTTTTATCCCGAAAAAATGTACAGTTCTTGTGGGATAGATTTGTTTTTGTCTAAGCGAAGCAAGGGTGAGTCGCTAGTATTTTGATAGACTGAATTATGTACATAACATTTTGACCTAAAGACAAATTATACAATTAAAATAGTATATAGATAGATAATCTTGATACGACCGGACCATGTAAAATATTTATGACCGAAAAACCCTTTTATAACCAGACAAGAGAACAAAAAATCTTGAAAATACCCCGACTAAGGTAATTTACAATCTGTTACTATCTTTAAAATTCAAAAATAGCGACGGGGCAAGTCGTAATTAGCATAGCCAGAAGACGCGTCAGCGATATACTTTTCTTATTAAAGCAAATTCTTGTATTGAACAGTACTTATACCTAAATACATATATTAAGTCGCACATAATTATACTCAATTAAATACATTGATAAACCCACGCATATGAAAATTTGATATCGAAGCAAACATTATCAATACCTTTGTGCTTTCGCTAAAATCACATAGGAAATAATACACATATTTGTAATCATGAACCTACCTACCATATCTGATAACGTGTCTGATAACGATAGTCTGACTCACATACGTCGATGTGCTTCTAGCGAGTAAACACATATCGTCATTATTTCACAAGTTAATATTAAAAGATATATTTTGATAATTTAATTAGAAAGTGATAGAAATATTAATTGATCGTGGTAAAAAACTTGAATGAGTAGGTAAGCAGAACTACTCATTTACTCTTCTTTTTTAACTCTATTGACAATAGAGACATACTTCGAAGCTCACTGAAATATTTGGACACTGTAAGGCGCCATTGCGGACTGTTTTTACTCGGGTCTGTTTATAAATACAAATTAATTCTGGGAATAGTTAAAACTTGGTAACTACATATACTAAATAATATTAATTTTATTAAAAAATAACATTGGTACTGTTTATTAAAACCTTAAAGTAAAATATTTATTTAATAAAGTAAAATAATTAAAAATGTTTTATAGCAATTTAATATTAGATTAATATAAATTGTGCCCTATGTGCACTGTACAGTAATATATCATTATCATTATTATCTGTGGATATATCTTTTCGTAATGGTAGAGTTTATCTTTTAGTAAACATTATGCGTGTAAACTGAATGAAAAATTAGGTTCTTATAATAATTTCTTGCCTCAATACACTGGTAGCTATGTGTGTTCTCGAGATTTTTAAGGTGTTCCACTTCAAATGCTGATTCATTCTTATAAGTTATGACGTAAGATAAGTACTATTAGCTTCCAAATAAAATGATTCGCTAGATGTATCGGTTCGCTGTACAATTACTTTCCATTCAGATATTTATACTATGGTCCAATTCTAAATTAGCTTATTCTTTTAATGTTATAATTTGGTGTTCTAGCTGATTTGCAATGGTGACGTAATACGATGAGAATGGGGTGGGCGACGTGTTGGCCACTAATACTGTTGCTGGCGCCGGTGCTAACTCAGCGCGCCGTGCCCACCGCCTGCGAGGAAGACGCATGCAGGTGCGACTCGTTCACGAGGCTAATATGCAATTGTACCAGACCATTTGAGGTAAATATCCTGATAGCCATAATAACCCTAGCTTTAAAATCTATTCAACTTTGATTATAATTAATTATAAATATAATTAATTAATTATTACAGGAATTGACTCTGAGACCTGATGGAGCGTTCAGAGTGCCTCCGACAACAACAGCTATTATAATAAACGGCTGCGATCGTGTAACATTCTTAACAGAAACGATCCGAAATCTTATTCAATTACGAATGATAGAATTAAGAAATATCGGTTATATCGTTATAAACGAGCGAGCACTAACCTGGTCACCATTTCCCAGAGATAATGAGATGAATCCGGGAATTAAAATTGTAGTGCAAAACAGTACCCTAAATGAAATTTCCTCGCACGCAGTTCAAGGGCAGGTTAACGAAATAACTATCAAGGACAGTAAAATAGTCAATCTCAAACCTTTCGCTTTTTCAAGCTTAACTGGCGTCAAAAATATAGAACTCATAAATAATATATATTATAACATGGAGATACAAGCGTTTAAAAAGTTTACTACAGAAAATTTTATACTGCGGGGTGGTGAAGCTAAATCCTTACCGAGCAGATTTTTATCCGATGTAGAAGTAACTAACCTGTTTCGAATGGAAGGTGTTACCATTAATTTATTATCAAGTTTAACATTTCTTGTCAGTTTACCAAAGAGAGTGTTGATAGAAAGTAATATTATACAATCTTTAGATGGAGATGCTTTTCATATATCAACGAAAGGGCCTGTAACGTTTAGAAATAACACAGTAACTAAAATAAGCAAGGGTGCGTTTTTAGGATTTACTGTCCACGTGGAGACTTTATCAGTTTTGGGTCGCCAAGAATTATTGATAGACAATAACACAATGACTGCAGTGACTCCCGCTTCCCTTATATACAATGAACAGACACTGACACTCAGAATTGATGGACTCAATCTAAATACAAAGTGCACTTGCGCATTGGCCGAAGAATGGCGAGAAGTATTGAGTCATCAAAGAGGGATCATTAATTGCTGGTATGAACTTGAAGCACATTATATTTCATTACCCACCTTTGTAGACAGTCGTTGTGGTGCCTTCAAACAAACCTTCTGGATTTTTGTAGTTGTGGGGGTTTTATTTGTATTGCTAGTTGCAGTGATTGTGATATTCTTTATAGTTAAAAGAGAAAATGAGAAAAAGAAGAAGATGCAGGTAGTTATGCCAGATGGCAAGACATACCGAGAAACGGAATTTCATATAGTTGTCGAAAGAGCGGAGCTTCTTACTACAGACTTGTGATTAATTAAGTGTTAACAAGGTCGTAGACGTTTACGACGAATGTTTAAAAGTCAAGTTAGATGGTAAAAAATATTACTATAAAGTGATACTACCTCAATATATCAAAAATAAAAAATAGTGCCAATAAATAATTAATTTTGATCAGTATTACGCAAATATATCAAATGTTTATGTTTGTTGTTAAATGATTTACTTACACCTAATATATAGCTATTGTAATAAAGTACAAATAAACTTAAACTAAAACTTGTAGTAGTTTAGACGAAGCTTAGCGACTTCCTTTTTATTGATTCTACGTATAACGTATGCGAAATTTATGGGTAGATGTGTAAAATAATTGTTATGCGATTATTTTTGTTATATTGATTTTTTTTTCAATTTGTCGTTCTTTATTATCTTGACGCACTGTTACTAAGGTAGTATCATCATCAATGAGAAATATTTCAATTTATGATATATTTAAGTGGACAAATGTATAGAGTATCACTATATTCTCTATAAGCTGCACAAAAGAAATATTTCAAAGACTAATTGTGTATTATTTGATCAAATTATTAGTGATTAATGTGACACGATAATTCTATAACCTTTAAAACACACGAAGGGCATTCTGGCATCTAATAGCGAAGATTAATAATCTTAAATGACATCAGTCGACGTAACTAGTTGTTGTAAATAATTCTCTAGTAATTTGCTTTTAAAATTATATACATATTTGCGTGTATAATAACACTACACATATGCTAAAGGATAAAGTATTTTTTAAATTAAAGTAAATACATCCATATCCATACTAATATTATAAATGTAAAAGTGCGTTTGTTTGTTTGTTTGTTTAACGTCGAAAAAGAGTGACGGTTTCGTGTGATTTTTTGTGTGGAGATAGATGGAGGGTTGGAGAATGACATACTTTTTACCGCGGGAGATGATCTCAAATCCATGGGAAAACACGTTATAATACAACCCACAACAACTCATCATACCTGTATATGTATATTTATTATATATAATCTATCTATTACATTTAAACTGTTAAAATGTACCCAGGGACGAAACCGGGCGAAGCGATGGTGATTCGTCAGTATTATATAAACTACATCGCGTCTGCGTCATCATAGTGCTTGCCTATTAATAATTTTGTGACCTTGCAAGGCGAGTTCAATAATGTGTTATAAACGTGTTATAAACATGCAATCAATTAATAGTGCATTTGTCTGAAATTAATAATAACTTTCATCAGATTTAACTTTTAAATAGGGGTTTGTCTAGCTAGCACAAGTGAGATAGATCGCAATAATATGTATGGATATACACGCACAGCGAATGCTTGTATTAGTTTATTGTTTTAAAATTTAAAATATTTCAGATAGAATATTAATGGCCGATTTCACCAACGTCACTTAACTTTAAAGGGATCCCCTAAGCATGGTTAGGGGGACAGTTTCTGTTTCACCGACAGTTAGGGGTAACCTAAATGTTAAAATGCCACCTAAATATAGGTACTAGAAATACGGGATCTGACAATGGTAAAACGAAATTTAATATAGGTTTAGGGGAACTTTTAAGCTAGGGATCCCATACGTAGTGGTGAAATCGGACATAAGAGTTTTTAAAGTTCTAATTAAAATTTGTTCAAATTCTAATATTATTAATATAAAAAGTCCCTACTTAAACGAATCTAAAAACATGTTTGTCGCATAAAATCATTTCGTTATTAAAACATGAATTTTTATAAATACTCTTAAATTAACATTGATTACTCTTATAAAGTAAAATTAACGTCTAATTGTAAAGAATGCTAAAATGCACCTTTCATGTCGTTAGAGAGTCTGAAAATATTTTATTTATTTATAATAGATAAATAATTATACGATATTATATATTATTAAATATATTATTTATACCTTTGCTTGTTATCTATAATAAAATGCTGTTTATCTTATTTTATTTCATTATGCTATGCTTAATAATAAGACATACTATTTTGATATAGCATATGCTTCATTTGTTTTGCTTCATGCATTATAAGCGTATGCTTATGTGGCATATACCTAATAAGGTATACGCCATATAAGCATTCCGCTGTTTTTTACATAAAATAATATTAATAATTATTTAGTTATTATTAGTTATTTTTTACACTAAAGTAAAGAAACTTACATACATTCAGAACTTGGTATAGTCAATAGCCACAGATTATTTATTTCACAACTCTTTAGTTGTACCATGTAAAATAACAAATTCGAGAATGAGCACAAAAGATTTTAAATGGGCTCACTAAGTATAGTGTCATTGTGGAGCATTGTGGAGATGCTTTGGGGTCACTTGAGTCAATTACATTTGCAGGTGACTCAATTGTACATATCCGTTGGTTGGTAGAAGAAACTGAATTAGTTTGTCGGCAATTATAGTAACGTCTGCGAGCTTCATGATTCCTTCTATTATATTTTTAAATACGAGTATTTATAGCCACTAAACTTTAATGTAGACTTTAGTTTTTGCATTTTTAATAGATTACAGTGAGTGCACTTTGTAAGAAAATATTTAATCATTAAAATTTGCCACTTAAGTGTCACTGTTTCTACACCACAGATCTGAAGATAGCCGTTGAGAGTCGTTATGTTTTCAACACTTTGACTTTAGGTTAAGGGTTTGATTCTTATGGAGATATATTTTCATGCAATCTGTTAGTGATGAAGTAAGAGCATAATATTTAAACCGTCCACTTACCTTACATCACTGAGCTTACAGCTGACACACAATAAGGGATCAGGCAATAATAAAAAAAATGGAAAATGTGTTTAGAAAGAACTTTCATAAAATTTGATATTTAATAAAATATTTCGTTAAATATTATAATTTTAAATCAAGTAATAAAATATAATATTTTATTCTGTTTCTCACCTTAGACGAAACAGTACATGACGTTAATAGTGTGTACATCAATGGAAGATTTACTTGCAATGATTGCCACATTGCACACACACCAACGATGTTTTTTTTTCTTTCCATGTCGACTTTATTTTACGAAATCTTACAAATTGTAGGTACTCCATTATTATTAGCTTCCAGTTTAACCTTATGATATATATATGACGTTACGCGATCTGAGGTGACAGAAGGAGCTGCTTTCGCGGTAGTTTAAAACAAATAATATTGATACATAGTTTTTGGTGCATGTAAAGCTTTATTAACCTGTCAGCGACCGGCGAGCCACGAGTGGCTCGGTTAACAATTAATTTCTTAGAAATTAACCGCGAGGTGCATAAAATAATATTTTTTATGGGAATTAGTATCAATGATAGTTAATTTAAAACACTTTCAAAAAATTATCCGATCCCCTATTGTGTATTGTATTGCTCTGCCTTGTCCAATGCTATGTAGAAATCTCGCCGTAAAACACCTGTAAAACACTACATTCTCACCTAAGCAAAGGCAGTCCATCCAGCACGGCATGCACTGTGGGCGGGGAGCCCAACTCGAGGCCGCGCGAGAGGAGCAGCGACTCCGTCTCGTCCGAGCTCGCCTCGTCCGTGCCCGCGCCTGCACCGCTCGTTGACATTGCCTGCATCTGCACTTCCACTACAGTGGCTACAACGAATGAGAATCGCATTAGTTATCTTATAGATTATAGATAGATTTGAGCTTAGACTCGTTCAAATATGTTTAATGATAAAGGTGCAAAACTGTACTTGTTGGTTTGTCTGGTTTTGGTTGGTTGGTTCTAGCTCTCAGTAACAGATCGACATGATGTTTGCATAGAGATGGTTTATAATTTACTTAAGGACTCAAATTAATCCATAAAAAAAGCTATTGAATTTTCTTCATCGCTCTATATCTCTTCTCTTTTATACCTTCCTACTGTGTCTGTCTGTCTGTATCTGTGTATACTTGCTTATTTATAGTTTATAATTATTTTTAAATTTTAATATATTTCCAATAGTGTGTCAGTATAAGTTATATCCGGCATGCAAATCGTCATTCAACAGCGTCGTTAACTTTTATCAAATTCAATCCGTGGCGCGGAAACTAACATAAAAGGTTCTAAAAAGAACGTGAATGAGCAGAATGACAAGACAAATGTGACACAATTGACAATATTACAGTACAATGGATCAGTGTAACACCTGCACTACAGCCATGCATTCCAGTCACGCCGCAAGCCGGCTTACTGCTGACTACTCCTTTAATCATAGACCCATGAGAATAATAACTCATAAACACGCAGTCATACCTAATATGTATATAATATACATATTTATACTTGTCTTACAAGCATCTTGTAAAACGTTTGCTATTATGTTGAAGTTATTGTTAAAACAGTATTGATAATTTAATGCCTATGTATTAACAACATAATATACTAATAGAAAACTGCTATTCAGTGTATAAACACCCACATCTAAGCAATATGATATATAAATCAATGTCGAAATAATATCAATCAATTTTGAGAATTATATTTAAAAAAAAAAAGAATTACTAAAATCCATTTACAATAAGCGATGATACCTATAGTGTCACATACACACAAAATAAAAAGAAAATGAAAACAATCGAGTACCTGCTCTTTCATTTTAAAGGAAATTTAAAAAGAAACTAACTATGATACAATAAATTAATTTAACCCTTAATAATGTGATGCTATGGGAATTATAAATTTAATAACTCGTATATTTATACTCAGATTTTTATTTCAAATTCAATCAAATATGACAATAAAAACTCAAGCAAAAGCTAGTATTTAGGTCATAAAATAAAACACTTCTGCTGACGCTCCATATTAGAGGAAGTATCTGTGCATTTAATTGTCTTGAGACTAGTATAGCCTTGTAACGCATAACTAACCTTGACATTTGTATTCATGTTTTACATTCATATGACAATATATAATATATGTACATATATGTATAATGTATATAAATAACCATAGAATAAGTGTCTTTAAAATTTAAACCAACATATTGGCGATGTAGTCGACTGTAATTAGTCATTATAAATGAAAAATGACGGAACCCAGTTATAATGAATGGTTTTGAATGTTTTTTTGGGGTTTTTAATACCATAAAGTTTACCCATAAAAATTACCGCTGTTTTAAAAATCCGTAAATTTCAAAAAAATATCAATTTTTCTTGAAATCTTTTCGAATCTTTTCGAAAAATAATTGTATTTTTTGTGGAGATTTCAAGTTTTGTTTTTGAGTTTGTTTATACAAGATTTCTTATATGAAACTTTTTTAAATTAACAAGATTCTATCAAGTCGTCCTTAGAATTTTTTGGCTAGCGCTGGCTAAATCTTAAGATATATATATATATATAATCAAAACAATGTACTAGTAAATTGTAGGTAGTAATAAGACCTACAGACAAATCTGCAATATGCAATAGCATAAGTCTTTCTCCTAAGATAAACTCGTAATAACTATTCATATACATACGTATACATATAACGGGCCTTGGGACGGTTTTTATATACAAGGTATCTTATATTTGGCTAATTACTCATATATCTCCTTTACGCTATACGCAAGTTACTGTTCTAATATTGTTAGGTCAGCATATCTCACTCTCTAAAAATTTGGTTTTTAGACTCTTTGTCAAACGTCCAATCCCAATTTGATTTGAGCTCTACGTTCTGCGTTTTGCTTGTAAAATGAAAGACAAATATTTGTTGGCTTAACAAAATAACTACTCCTTGTAATATAAGTGTATTATGAGTTTACCTTGTGTAAGGGGCGAAAAAGCGTTAACACAGTTTTAGTTAGTTTAGTTACAACATTAGCCGTTATGCATTTGTCATTACACACATACAACTTCACGCTATACCACTTGCAGAGTAGGCAGAGGGAACAGAGTGCCAAGCGCTTCTCGATCTCTGCATACCTCTTTCGCTTCTTCCATTGTTACTGTTATTTTCGTACGCGCTCAGATTTTTGACTGTCCTATACATAAAATGTGACATTCAAAGTTGTAGTTATTTATTATAAGTTTACCGTGTGTAAGAGGTGGCACATCTAGGTCCGGGGCGAGTAGGAGCGCCGCACACGAGGCACCGAGGTGTACGAGCTCCATCTCCAGGGTCGCCAGCCCTCCGAGAGAGCCTCCAGTTTTGATGTTAGTAAAGGGAGCCTCTTCATACCCAACGCATAGGCACCGGAAGCCGAAGCGGCTTTCTTCACTGTACACACAATGTATATCATCAATTATATTTATAATGGTATCATTTCGTGTTTATATCAGACGAACAAAAAAAGATAAAGATTTGACTTTTTGGAGTGTTTCACTGTGAAGTGATAAAAATATTAATTAATTTATACACTTTGTCATCTTGTAAAGCTTGTTGTTATATAAATATTTGGGGCTAACAAAATTTTTGGTCAAGAAAGAAAGCACTATACTTACTTATTTGATTTATTATAATCATTTAAATAATCAGACGTTGTTTCAAGGGAAAATATAACTTCATTCCCTGGCACCAGTAAAGACCTTTGAGGTCTGTCTGTGGGACTAAAATGAAAAAAGAAAAATTATTAAGTGTAATTGTAAGTCATTCTATTAATTTTTTATAATAATTATACATACATGTTTGATAATTTTGGCGTGACACTGACATATGTACAGTTATAGTGCATGCATGGTGCGTCCGAACTTGTCTCCTCTAGCTCTTCCGCTTCTCCTGTCTCCGAAGTTAACTGGACGAGACGCTGCAACGATCCATTTTTGTTAGTAATATTATATATCACAGTATTTAAAAGTGACACAACATTTATGTATAGAATACTTATAATCTAGCACAATTTAAACTTCCACATCTTGCTTATATTAATTCTAAAATCGAGTATGCTATACTATACCAGCATAAAATACCTAGTCAAGTATAATAAATTCGTATAATTATTTAAGTAGTAATAATGTTACAAGACAACTACTTTGCTAAAAAAAAGAATAAAATCATTTGTTAAAAATTATAATTAGAAAAATATTTTATATTATCTTAATCACATCTACCGCACCGAATTAAAAATATATATTTAATATTATTTTATATCATAATTAATTAAAGACGTATATTGTATATATGTATGTAGGTCCTAAAATTTTTGATACTGATAATACTATGTTTTAAATAAACTCACTAATGTGATTGTATTACAGATATAAGATGAGATATTAAGTTTAAGAAAATCAACATTATTGATAGCTTTTTATTTACATAATGCGCAATTCAGGGTTTCAACAGTATATGAAGTATTTATTCTAAAACTATTAAAATTTGAAATACTTTACTGCTATTTATGAAAAGCATACGTTCATAGTAAAAAAAATTGTAAATTATAGTAAGACATCATATAGCATGTATCTACGACATTAACAATAATTAATTAAAATAAAAATTAAAAGTATAACATTTAAACCTTTACCAACTAGTTTGTACAATGAAACTACTTTGTTGCTTGGTACAAAGCTAACTTTTTAATATAGAACCGCTAACACGCTAACTTTAATGAAATTCGCCGTGCAATTTATAAGTAAATCTGGTCTATTATGGAAATGAATGACAGCGAAAGAGTCCTTTATCCGTGCAATGCACCACACGCTTACTATATTTACCCGCATTATATATTATAATATAATACATGCGCGGTAAGACTGACCACCTCACCAATATATAGCACCACATTTTACTTATTGAATTAATCTGATTTTCATAGTATCTTTTAATCATAGGCAAAGCAAGCATGGCAAATACAATGCAATTAGTATGACAAATATTTGTGACCTTAGAACTCTTTTTTATATGAAATTGATATATGGTATAAAATTTTATTTGAGTGGCAGATTAAGCAATAAAACACATTCAATTATAGCGTTAAAACAGCAGAAGGTGCTCACAAGATTAGCTGTGGGTGTTTTATATTAGGTAGACGGTCAGTCGGTGTAATGTAGCAGTGTGAATACAATGAATGGGTGAATGGACGACCGCTACCTTATATACCTTACGGAAGGGTGGGTCCGGGATGCGGGCGTCGTTGATGCAGTGGCAGCGGTGCTTGGGCGCGCCGGCCACCGCGTACACTGTCAGCGTGTCCTCTGACTGCGCCGTGATACTGCGTGGATCCATCTCTAACACTATCCATGACACCGATGGCGGAAATAGCACCCTATATAACATAGGTTTTACATTAAAAACAAAACATTAAAAATAATTATTCTCTTTTAATTTCTTTCGTCAGTTCTTCGCCTTGACCTTTTCTATACAACAATTTCACAAATTACCTTTTATTAATAACTGTTGATTGTTTGTATGGATGGTCACTCTCTACCCATGTGTAATATTGACTCGTCGTGGTAGTGGTGGGAATGTCATCAGCCCTTGGCAACTCATGATTTATTGCTGCCACATGTGGTAGTAGCTTATGAACCATTTCGAGAAGATGAATGACACTCTGAAAAATAATCGAAAATACGTTTTAATATTGAAACATTTTTAAAAAAAAACACACGTTCAAATCATTTGATAATGCTTACTTTAGAATCATTAAGTCCTTCTAGATTTGCAAGAGCATAGGGCAGTAAGGTATTTAGTGCGGGTGCAGCTGCCATTAGAGGGGCAGCCCGACGCAAGTCATCTGGGGGCAGAGTCCTCAACGCCGCTAGTAGAGCCCCACTTCTCTCCGCTACTTGCATGGCGACAGCCACGGCCGCCTCGCGCGCCGCACCTCGCTCCCACTCCAAATCGTCAGCATTATCCGAACCACGTGCTGTTGTACCGGATGCGTTAGTACAGGGGCCGGCTTCGTTGCTGCTGCTATGCCATTTGGTCCTATCATATTACAATTTACTTATTAGAATACATTTTGACATTGAATTATTATTTATATTGTTTCTAATCTTTTTTTTTAATCCCATTACGTTTTAGTAACTAAAGCAAATAAGTTATGAATACCGTGAAAAGGAAGTTAGTTATAATGTAAAAAATAATAGTTTTTCACCTATAGTATATAAGGCAAGGTAGCTGGCCCCTTGCGAGAGTGGTGCCGTTAAAACTGAGCGAGCATGAGGAGAAATGGAAAGTGGTTCCATCAGGGCCAGTGACGGCGGGCAAACCACAATCGCCGCTAGCTGTGCGCGTGCCTTCACAGCAGAACCGTAACGCATAGCGAGTGTCATCCTATGACAAGATTATATTATCATGAAAATATTGTAATATTGTCATCAATACATATAATAAAAAAGTAATTTAGCAAAATCTGCACATGAAATATTTTTTAAAAACAATATTATAACGTATTGTGTACAGAATATACATCCCAAAAAAAGTTATAAAATTTTTTTGTCAATTTTTCTGTCTGTATGTGCGTTCCATAAAGTACTGAACCGATTTTGACAAAATTTTGTAGAGTCGTCTTTAGGAATGTATTTGGCTAACGCTGGCTAAACCTTAAGAGATACATCAAAACCAAATAATAGAAAATTATAGGTATTAATAAGGTCTACAAAAAATTCTGCAATACCATAAGTCTTTCTTCTAAGGTACACTGACAACAGCTAGTCATATCTATTTAAAACGTACCCAGGGACACGCCCGAGCGAAGCGTAGTCGCCAGTGTTAAATATAATGTAATATTTATTGTAATTAAACCATTTAACTTACTTTAAGCATAACAGGCCTTGCAAATTTGACTTGTACCATTTCGTAATGTGCGTCTGCAGAGGAAAAGGATCCATCGGCTACTTCGCAGCTAACCCAACAATGTGTCGGATTGGCTTCTTCGCAAGTAGTTCGCATCTAGATAAATATTACATCCAAATGATTTAGGGATCTTACATCGTCATATATATATATTTGTTTACTTTTTTAAATAATCCCTTCTTATAAACTGCTTAACTTAAAAAATCTTATGTAACCATAACATATCAGATGTTTTACATTAGCTGTCTAGCCTTGAGTAATATGCATGCACAAATTGTTATTTTTTGAAAATATATTTTTAAACATAATTTTAATTTAATTTAAGCCTTTAGAACAAAAAAGGGTAATCAAAATCCACCCATCATTTTCCGAGCAATGTGCAGTTAAGCTAACATACAAAAATTTGGAATTTATTCTTGAGTCTAAAAAGATTTTCATTATAACCGTTTGTTTGTCTCTCAATTAAATATAACTTGAAAAAATTACAAAAACCTACATCATGCAACAGTTCTATGGAGTAATCGTATTGTCCAGTTCCGACAAAGACGCATGCGCCGCACAACGCCACGCCGGGGCGGTCCACGGTGAAGCAGATCGCGTCCGGACTGCCGTTACCGGTGCTCCATGTGCGTGCTGTGTTCACTCGCATGAACCGGGACGCGGTCACTTGGTGCTTTATTGTGCTTTCATCTGCGTCATCCTGTTTACAACAAATGTATACCTACTTACTAGAAGCTATTCTTTATTGCACTTAAATTAAATACAACAATAATTAAAACACAATTTTAATTTGCAAAAGTGGACTTATCTCTAGAAGAGATTTCTTCCTATAAAGCAGACTAAAATCGAGCAGTTATAGTGATGTAAATAATATACAGATACTCAGTAATTTCACTCTACGTGAGCGTGTTACCAATGGGCTAAGCACGTCTTTTTATAGATTCACATCGACGTCTACTGCTGAACACAGGCCTCCCCCAAAAATCCCTCCTTTCAATCGGTACGTACGGTAATTCCTAAGGGATTCGATTTTTTTTTTAATTTTGGTATTTTACTTACTGATAAATGTTGCTTATACAATTATCGTGAGGCGAGCCTCTTATCATTATCACCGCTTACAATAATATATTTTTCTATTAATTTCCTAATGGTTAATACTAACCTTAGTGTACTGTAACGCACTGAAAGACATTTCGGCGATAATTCTTGCAATCAATTTGCAACAAAATTCAGCTAGACGTTCTTGCTTTAGAATTTCGCCATGGTCATGTGCTGGCGCGCATTGCCTCTGCGTGAGTTGCTGTTTGATGGGATTCAACACCACATCGAGCAATCTAGGCACTATGTCCAATAAATGCCACTCTAGGTAACATGACTTGTCTTCGTTATCGTAACTCTGTAAGACAGGGTTATTTTTTTAAATGTAAATATTGCAAAATAATTCTAAAGATACATTAAGGGTCTACAGTTGGAAAACTATATAACTAGAATAACAAAGCATTCCTACTCTGTGCGAATCCTTAGCTCGGGGCGGAACAGGTGGAGGTTTCTGTGCGTGTGACGATCGAGGTACTGTTGCAGATTTACTCGGAATTTCTTTTATCTGTAAAAGAAATCTCGATAGTTTCTATGGTTATGAATTCGTGATCTTAAATTGAATTTAAAAAAATGTCTACTATTCACTAAGTTCTTAAAGGAGTTAACATGCATGGGTTGACAATGTGTATATTATAATAATATTTCTCTTAGGAGTGCATCTTAAATATTCCCGGTGGATCTTGCATATGCATAATATGCACATAAGAATACGTTAGAACTACCTTAGCCTCAGATTTACGGGCCTCCTCCAGGGCGGTATAGCTTTGCGTGAAAGGCACAATGTACTGTAGTACATCGCGTAAGCTTTGGGAGAGACACATTGCCGCGCAGGTAGCTGTCAGTTCACGAACTTGGCTCGAGGGCACATATCCATCCTGTAAGAAAAAATGAATTAATACTATACATATCTGACATTGCTTTAACAATATTCACAGTATAAACACAAATTTCTATATCAGATCCGAAAACAATGTTATATAAGCTAAAACTATCCACTAATAATATACACTCAACCCTCAAGATAATTAGCAAATAACGAAACTCACCCGAACGTGATATAACATAAAGCATAGGTGATTCCATTTCAAAATTGGTGTCGGAAAGAATGCATAAAAGCATGCATTGAAAGTTTCGTGAGCTTCTTTTAGTATAGAGTTAGTCAGTTCTAATGCGAATTGTACATAGCACGTCCTGTGGGCTTTGCTTCGTCCTTGCTTCCGCGGCAGTGCTGCACAAGTTGGGGTTGACTCTGCCATCACACCCTGAATGAAACTCCTCACATCGGCTATCGAATCAAAATACGACATGTAATCTGGTGAATTTTTCTTTTTAACACTTTGTGGATAGACTTCTTTGATATACGACTTCACTATCCGCAAACCGGCTCGTATGACGTACACCAGTCTCTTTTGGTGTTTCATCACAGTAAGTTTGTGATAGTTTATTGGTATTTGGCCATTAGTATCCAATAGAATGTCTCTAAATGTTTTCCAGCTCCATTGCAATAGCGATATTAGCGAACGGAAGCAAGATACAGTCACTTTTCGTGATAAGTTTCTTGATAGAAGTATGACTGGCTCGCCGGGATCTAAGTGCCTAATAGGCATGGGATGATCTGGACCCATAATATTATACAAAAGGCAAGGTATTTGCCCGGCGTTTACATCAGTGCCGTTGTTTGACTTCTTTGATGTTTTAAAATGGAAGCCTACATCATCGTTAATAACCATAGCTTGACCGGACGAGCCACAATCTGATGAAGGACCGTTGATATTAGCAGCCACAACATACCATTTACCAGCCTGAAAATTCAAAATATTATTAGGGGAAAGTATATAACATTATTTACTTTATAATATTTTTTATACATTTCTACTTACGACTAACGAAAATGGTGTTTCAAACATTAGAGGATACTTGTCTTTTGGAGCACACTCATAAAAAATATCATCCGATTCGAAAATCATTTCACCATCTGCTTCTTGATCACCGCCATCAGGACCAATGTCATATAGTCTAATCTTAGCAGTGTACTCCCCTCTACCTCCGTAAAGACCTATACCACCTAGACAAAATAAAAAAATAATGTAATACAAGAAGGAAAATTTACACTAGAGATGAGACTCTAATTGATATTCTTACCAAGTAAGATATCATTGTCGCACATGAAGCGAATCGCCTCAACTGAATGGCCCGAGTAGCCCCAACCGCCACCATGATTTTCAAATCGGTTGACAGTCAAATAATCTTCGACGACTGGTGCAACAGGCAATATATTATTGTCTCTTTTGCATTCTACTACCGCTGGCCTAGAAATAAATAAAAATCATTGTATATTACATTATACTTTATCAAATAGGACTTCGAGAGACTGGTATACTGACTTGTTGTCGTGAGCATAAGTCAATGAGTCCAAACAGCCCAACAAGTGTAGGGCAGCATGGATCCTGGTAACTTGACATCCTGGCGTGCATGGAATCGCTAATTCTTGATTAAGTATTGACATATTGGAGAGTGCAATGTTCTCTGACTCCTTACTATCGTTATTGCTGATCCATTCAAAGCTCTCCAAGTATCTAAAATCCTCTAACCTCTTCATGCAACCATAATGTGGGAAATCAAATTCTGGATCGGCAAAAGCCTCCGGGTCATTAGAGCAACATCGCTGTAGTTTATGAGAATCAAATGCAACGATATTGTAGCACTTCATAACTCGCATCTGAGGTTGATAGCACCATAGAACATCATACAATGGGTCGAGACAAGCCAGAGTGTTTACAAAATCTACTTGCTCAGGTCCAGTCCAGGCATTACAGGAACCGTCATTTTTGTTAATAGTAATGCACTTAAAAGTGTGTTCCGGTCGATTTGGCAGAATGACTGAAATATAGTTCATATATAATCATAAGTATTGTTTTCCTTTAACATATTACATATATTAATTAAACTTAGTGGATTTTTTTGGATACTTACTTATACTATTGCTGTTAGCGGTTATAGTTGCGCTGAATAAATTGTCCGTATTTATGAGGGCTTGTGAGATTTGCACAAAGGTCTGGTCTCCAGAGGCACAGACCCAAACTGCACGACAGCCGTGTCGAGGACCGATTCGTGGCACTCGACCAGGCGTCGCGTACCACACTGGAGCACGTTCAGAACGCGGCGGTTCATCTTGCCTCGCTCGACCAAGAGATCCTTTCTATTAGTAACGTCAGCGATTTATCGTAAATGCTTCTCTTTACTAGTACGTAATTATTTGTATAAGTGTTTGTTACCTTTTTTATCAGTATTCATATCAAGAACAATTGGATTTAGATGAAATTTAATGAAATATGATTTTTTTTATAATCTTTATTGCTTTTGTATTAAGCCTATATCAATCAATCAATCAATGTTTATATTATCAATATGTTTTAATGCTATTTCTTTTTGGTTAAGAAAATAATTATTCAAAAATTGAAACTCACGCTATTGGTCCGACCGAATATGACGTCAAAGTATTATCATAACAGAGAGATTAGAGATTTTGCAACTCGCTATACTCGTCATTTTTTATGTATGATATTTTGACGTTACGCCAAGCGCGCGAAATAGCGGGCGTTTGAAGTATTCGTATCGGTATATATAAAAAAAATACTTAACGTCGTAAAACTCTGAATTTTACAAAATACGTAACGTCGTTATAACGACATTAGCTATAGTATTAAAAAATCACGCATATTCCTATTCCGCGAAAAATAATATATTTTTCTTTTCTATTTTTGAAATTAAACTTCTTTTGGCGTGACTGAGGAGTAAATCAATACATTGGGAAAATAAGTGAGTGTCGCGCAAGTAAAGAGTCAAATTATTAATAATTTAATATATATATATATATATATATATATATATTACTTATACTAAAATGAATATTTATTACTAATAATTTTATAAAAAATATTTTATATTTTGATTTGTTAAGTTAATGTAATTGCGGTATCTGCCATAGCACCAAGGAAGTTTTACTTCACCCGCGCGTAAAGATTACCACACGCACTCATATTTTTTTATTATTTATGTGAACTGTTGCATGAGTTTCGTTGTTTTGATATCAAATAAAATAACGTATTTTTAGTAAACGTTGTGTTTTAGTTGATGATACACGCATTAAAAACATGTAAATTACTAGCATTGACAATCATGACATCAACATTATATTGCCCACAAACCTGAAAACTGCCAAAGGTGTACAGTTCGCCGTCCCTCGTAAGTATTGCGGTGTGGTTACTACCGGCGGCCACGCTGGACGCGCGCGGCACTCGCACTCGGACTAGCCTGTGATGTGTCGCTATATCGCCCGCACCTAGCGCTCCCCACTGATTCGATCCAAATGTGAACACTTCGCCTGAGCGGACAATTACCATCATATTACCATCATATTGACGTCACGTTTGGCTCAGTTTGTAATGACCCTACTTCCTGTGTCAGCGGTCGCGGGTTCAAGTCTTGCTAGGGGCATTCATTTGTATGATGAGCACGAATGTTTGTACTCCAGTCATGGGTGTTTATATTGATAATATGTATGTATTTAAAGTTATATGTGTGTAGTGTATGAACTATCTGGTATCCATAACACAAGCCTCGTAGCTTACCATGGAACTAGATGGTGCTGTGTGTTAATGTCCCAACATATTTATTAAAAATTTATTATTAAAATTAATAACTAGCGACTCATCCTCGCTTCGCTCGGGTTCGTCCCTACCATACAAACTTTCATCCCCATTTTCACTCCCTTAAGGGATGATTTCCAGGATAAAAAGTATCCAATGTCCTTCCCAGGGTCTCAAACTATCTTCTTACCAAATTTCATCTAAATCGGTTTAGTAGATCCAGAGATTACAACGTCACAAACAATTCACAAACTACCTCTTTATTAGTATAAACTAGTCACTATCAAAGTAATATTATAAAAAACTGTTTTATTATTCTTTGAGTATATATTAGTTCGATTTCTTCAGATTTTCATAAAACATTACTCAATGGTCGTAACTATTGGGAAGTCAAATTAAGCCATAAGTCACGAATTTAGAAAACAGAAATTGCAAAATCTTCCTTTTCTATCACTCGCAACTGCGCTAATACTATAATTAATGCGCAAATTAACATATTTTTTTTAAATATGTTAGTTTTAATATTCCATATTTCCTAGATAATCACATTATTTACTTTTTATCGACGCGACGTATGGTAAATGGAGAAATACTAATTTTCAATTTACTTACCATGTTCACTTAACAGTACACTATGGTGTAGTCCACAAGCCACGGACACTACGCGGTGTCCTCCAGGTACTATCACTCTAGCGGGGGACAAGCAGCTCACTTTCACACTCGCTTCCCGCTCTAACTCTGGACCTGGACCGAGTGCTAGTGACAGTGGAATGGACACAGGACCTATCCCTGGAGCAGGACTTGAGCTCTCCGGCTGAGATTGATCTTTATCTGTACAATGAGTATAAGTTATCACATTACAAAAAATGTCTTGAAAGGGAAATGTTTAATGCACTTTAAAATATTTTGAAATACTTCTTTTATCTATCACTTGCATATTTTACTTTATTTTTAAGAACCTCTAACGAATAACAGGATTTCTTCATTGCAATACTTTGTGTTTTCATACAGCTAATTTATATAGCACTTATAAAAGTCCAGTGCAAGCTATTGGTGTTTATTAATATATAATAGTAAAGTGAATAGTAGTAGTAGTGTAGTAAATTGTACAACAAAAAATAGGATAAGTGTGAGTCTGACTCGCACGCCGAGTGTTCCGTAGCATGAAACATTAAAATAAGTTTATAATCGCAAATTTTGTTTTAGTGATGTAACTACAAATGTACGTTTTTCGGATATTCACCTTTACTTGTGCTATAAGGCATTGCTTCATGCCAAATTTCATAATTCTAAGTCAACGGGGAGTACGGGTTTTGAATCCCTTTCGAGTTCCTTAACGAGTGTCAAAATATGAAGCATAAATGGCCGTATCTTTTGATCACGTTGACTTAAAAGTTTAATTTTTTTACAGTTCCAGGGATTGCAGACCTGCGTATTAGACATACAGACATACGGTCGGACAACGAAGTGATCCAATAAGGGTCCCTTTTTCCTTTTGAAGCATGGAACCCTAAAAATAAACCCTATGTTGAAAGAAGAGGGAATGTTTGTATGTTTATTTCTCTTTCACGGTGAAACGAAGAAACGGGTTAGGTCGCTAGTATTAAAGGTAAAACTTAATGTGGGAAAACATTTGTTTACCATTAGCGAAAACCTGGTCTGCTCTAGTGACAGCGGTAGAGGTGGAGGCCTCGGCGCAGCGCCGGCAAACGCCGCACACGCTGCACCCACTGTCGCCCTCGCCACACCCACAGCGTCTGTTATATTGGTTCATATTACACATGACAAAAATATAATTATTACTAGATAATCGAACAAAAACATTTTCAATCTTTTATTAAATTAAAAATATATCACTCTTAATCTGCTAACTAGACGGTCAACTTGGCAGCTTGTCCGGGGGAGAGACACTCGATTGTCAAATGTTCTTTTATATGACAGTGAGGAAACGGTTACGAGGTTGACGAGTAACTGCACTTCACTCAGTAGATTAACTTCAAAACTATGTGTAATGAAAATTAGTATTTTTGACAAACCTTGCATTTGACATTATTCACGTTAAAATCAAAGGAAATCGGTTACTGTGTGTATTTTTATACTGTGGGAATATGTAGGTAATAATACCACTTTATAACTGAGTTCCGAAAAGCAGAAAGTTCTATGGTTTGTATGTACGTATTTTTATGTTTGAATGTCAGTAGGTAAAGTCACAAGAAAATTTAAATACATGAAAATAATCAAGAGGGAATATGCGTGTGACTTAAATAAAGTTGAATTCTTTTTTATAATAGGTATTTGTTGCTTTTATTATTATAGTCTTCTATATTAATATTTTTTAATGTAATTTATTTTTTATTAAGAAAATAATTATTAAAAAAGGCAAACGTAGGTGGGAAATTCAAAGTAGTTAAAACGCAACGCCATTTGTCAGACCGAATTGATGTCAGGCCAAGCGCGCGAAATGGCGGGCACTTAAAGTATCCGTATCGGTACAATTTAAAAAAATACACAAAATTTTAGTTTATTGAAGCTGGATATTTTTTACAATTATATAAGAATGTAAGCTATTATATAAAAAAAATTGAAAAAGCACGCATATTCCCTATTATAATATATATTATAAAAAACATTACAATAATGAGATACGGACTCGCCGGGTAATCTGTTCGGTAGTGTGGCGCAGTGGCAGCCGCCGGCAAACCCTGTGCATTCCCTGCACAGCACACACACGCGGCAATATTCTACGCTCCACGAGTGCGCGCCGGGACATAGACGAGCCTCCTCCTTCCCGGCGTTGTTACGATTTGGCCCAAACTCTAGAATTAAAATTAAAAAATATCCATACTATCATATACTATCACATAAGCTATGTATTATTATACTTTGTATATAGTTCACATTTTTATAAAATATAAGTAAATTAGAGCAATCAAATAATACATACTCTCTTTTGTATATCCAAATTCTCTTCCACATTGACCTTTATTATTGATTCCAAAAGAGTAGACTTCGCCAAAGTTTGTAAGAGCAATTGCGTGCGCTTTTCCTAATGCGACCTAATAACGAAACACATATAATTTGGAATATAATCTCTGCTAGTTTTTTTTTTGTATTTGTTATAAAATTCAAGCAAGACAAACTTAAAGCATAAATCAAGTCACCTGTATAACTCTCTCGTGACGTAATCCAGTGACGAGTCCTGACTCATCGCAATGTTGTGTATCTTTGCCAAACATGAACAACTCGCCCTGTCGCGTCACAAGCGCAGTAGATCCGTAATTGCAAGCTGCATATACGATATAATGCCTTTCCGCCTGTGACACCAAAACATAATTTATATAAATATAAATGTGGAGGTGTGTGTTTGTTTGATTGTCTTTTTTCATGTTGAAACAGAGTAACGGATTGGCTTGATTTTTTTGTGGAGATAGTTGGGAGGGCTGGAGAGTGACATAAGCTACTTTGTACTGCAGGAGATTATCTCATTCCCACGGGAAAACACGTTATAATACAACCCAAAAAAATATTTAGGGTCAGTGTTACTTCAAACTTAGTAAAAATACTCTTCAATACAATTAAATAAATAAGTGTTTTAGCATTTTTGAAAATTCATCCTAATTAAAAAATAATACTACATAATATCTAACCCTTAGAATTTTCTTAGGACGTGTCGGTTTTGGTGTGCGTCTATGTTTATTTGCGTCGCCATCTTCACCTCGGCGTGCTATACCCGTGAACAAAGCCGATCCGTTGTCTAGGACTAGAATAGCATGGACTCCTTCATGGCCCAATGCCACCTGCAATGACATATTAGACAATTATAGTCATGGTTTATCATATATTAGTAGCACTACTATGTATCACCCAGCTATTTTTTTATTTTTCACTTTTCAATAGTAACATTTATATCATTTTGTGTTTTTCTATATAAAAGTATTTTTTGTTTGGATAATATCAATAAAATAGAATAAATAAAATTGAAGTTTATGTTGGTAATATCAAAATAACAGCTTTTTATTAAATGCTTATGAAATTATATATGGTACTTATAAGAAAAACAAAATTATTAAAATATTTGTCTGTCTATTTGTTCCGGCTATTCTCGAAACGGCTGGACAATAATCTTACCTGTGCTACTCTGCACCTTTTAACATTTGGGGCCTCATTCTTAGTAAAAAGTGTTTCCTTCATCAGAGTCCAGCGACCAGTATGTGGTGTGGGAACCTTATAGCCTAAACTGGTACCCTTGCCAGTATAGTACACCTATACATACAAATAAAATAATAATGGTTAAATCAGTGTGGTATTGAATAATGGAAATTATTTAATGGCAATTAATTTTAATATAAAGTGAAAGGTATAAGTTAAGTAAGATTGGTTCAAAGTGAATTTTTACTCACTTTTCCAGAAGACGTGGTTAATAAACCAAAGTCTTGACCAGCACATATAGCTAACAAAGGGTCATCATCGTTATCATCTAATTGCATCGCTACGGGAGAATCGAGATCAACCATCCGCCTGGACAAACCGTCATCAAAGGATGGTCGTCCCAACACTAGCGTTCGCCGCCTAAGGAGATGTACGGTAAATTCCCTTCTAGCAATCACAGTATGTCTTCCTCCTTGAGAGCGCTCGGCAGCAGTCGCCTCCGCATCGTACAATTTGATAGTTAGATTATCCTGTGAAATAGAGGAGAGGAATTTTAAAATTACTGTAATCACATGAAAACGTAAAGCAAGACGATTTACGTACAAAAGTCAGTAGACAATTTCATAACTCACATAATTGTTAAGGATTATCAAGCCTAACAAATTGCCATCAGTAAATACTGCACATTTAGATTCAGTGCTAGCAGACTGCCCTGGATCTAAGCGAATTATACTCCTTACTTCCAGGGTATCTTTGTTCACCTCATGCACTTCACTTCGCTTACGGCCAATCCTAACATATAATTTATTCTGGAATTGTAAAAAGTTGAAAATCTGTAGTAATCATGTGTATACATTAATTTAACTTGCAAAACACTGCATTGTATAACATCTAAACTTACTCTACAATATCCAAGCCAACCATGACGATCGCTAGCGAAAAAGTCATTTTTGTGTAGATAAACATGCTGTCTGATAGAGCTACCATATCCAGAGCCGATTTTTAACAAGCCTTTTGATGTGAATACATAGAGGTAACACCCATCGGACACCAAAGATCGAACTATAAGTTCTGATGTTCCTGCTGTCAACTGCGATGGTAAATCAACTGGAAAGCTTCTCACTAAAGATTTATGAGGCACACCAAAATTTAACCATAAGTTACGGGATGGAGGTCCAAGAATCACAGACTGTACACTCCTTTGCAGAATGGTTAAATTGGTAGGTATCTGGAATAATTTTACATAATAAATAAACTTTTTTATTTTTATCAATATCTATTGTATGGTTAACCTTTTCCCCATTATTCAAATACTGCTTGTTATAATACTGACAGTCCATTATTAAAACAACCAGCATATCAAATTGCCCTTTGTAAGAATCAGACTTTCTACCTTCTACCTAGTATTATCTATAACCTACATATAAATTGATGCTTGGGACTTAAACTCAAGACATCTGGAATTGCAGCCGTACATGCTAGCCACTACCCCACTGAGGCAGTACATTATAGTTTTTAATCAATTAATATCCCATTTACCTGAATATATTGGTCTGTAAGGGAAGGGCCAGCCATAATCAAAGAAGCTACAGCACCCAGGACCAGTTCAGCCTCACCACGGGCTACTGCTAATGCAATAAGACAAGAGCTACTTATGGATGTTATTGTAGAAGGTGACTCCATGCGCCCTGTAGACCAGCTGCTGCCTGATACTTCTACTAACATACCATGTAGATTTGACATGATCTGTGGAATAACAAAACATTTTTATTTAATTTGCCTAATTTAATTTTATGATACAAAGTTAAGATGGAAAGTTGATACCTCATAGGATTCATGAGCTAGATCTTCAGGAGCATGACCCTGCAGTACATCCAATAGAGCTTTAAGTGATTGCTCACAAAACTGAGCATCAGTGTGCCGAGCCTGAGATATAAGGGCAAAAACTGTGCGTAATCCAATGCCAGTGATCTGAAATTTACATTTTATATTGATGATGAAGATGAATTTAAAAAAAATATATATATTTTGTTGTGATTCTATGCATAACTCAAAAGATAACTAAGCTGCAAAAAGTTACCTTTGATAACTTTGCAACATTTGCTGGAGGAACAACTTCTTCATTATCACTTTCATCAGATAAATCTAATGAGACAGCTTGAAGTTGCCGACAGCGAGCTAGAATGGTTCTACGGACGGTAACAAACACAGCAAATTGTGAAGGATTTGCTAGCAGGGCAGGAGCATAACAAATTGCAAGAGCATTAGATCCTTTCAATCTTTTAAGTCTATCTTTTTTGTTAAATTTCTTTGGTGGCTTTTTGTCAGTCCTTCTGTAACATATGGCACATTTTATAAATAAACTAGAATAAATATTTAAAATACAAGAAGCACTGTATAAAATATTATATTTAGTAAAATTATTTACCTAGTGCCACTCCAACAGAGAGCTCTAAAATATTTTCGATAATTTTCTGGATCCATGCATTTTAGCTCAGGTATTTTTATTTTCATATCCATTGTGATAGTTTCTAGTAAGAGTTATTTCTGAAAATTAATAGTTGCACCGCCTTGTAAAAAATGAAAACAAACAGTGTTTTTACTCAGTAACAAAGACGTCAAAGAATTTCGCTTTGCCGACATTATATTAGTTTTCGCACAAGCGAGAAATTTATCTCAAAAAATCAATCGTATGCAAAGGGAGCATTTTAATGTTTTCACGTGTTTATAAAATAGCAAATGCAAAAATCAATAATAATCGATCGATACAAACTCTCTCGTAATTTCGTTGCCTAATCTTAGATGATAGATCAATATGAACATGTCAATAAGTCTAAAACCAAAAAGCTCTAAAACATAAAGGGAATCGCCAAAGCAATTATTTTAAATAATATGCAGTATTTATTACACTAAAATAAGTTTTAATTTAATTTCTTCGTTGTCTTCGATATAATATATAAAATAAGTACATTTTTCATTAATAATAAGACGTTAAAATAAAATATACCAACAATAACATTAAATACCTTAAACCCGAACCCCTCACATAATTTGATAAGTTTATTTTTGTTTTACTATCATTTTTATTCATTACGGATTTCAAAATTTCTGTACTAGCATTGCTGGGCAGAAAACTTTAAGACTACTAACGTCAAAAAATCAATAACAGTTTACGACTGCATTCGGTTTTACCGGCAAGTTTCCAATAATCGTAAATGAAAAGTACCTATTACAGTTTATATTAAATATATCATATAATAATATTCAAATAATAATTATTATATATTATTAAATATTATTAATGTACAAATTTATTTTTTCCGAGAGGTAAGTTACGCTCTAAAAAAAATTAAATCGGTAGATTTATTACTATAATATGGATACAGAAACTACTTTAGTACGAATATAAAAATCAATCAAGCAAATGATGTATATTCAGTTACAAAAAAACGAATTTATTTATTTTGCTTATAAATAGCGGCATATTTTTTATATTAAAAGCATGAAATTCTGTAAACAGTTGTCAAAAGAATACAGCCGAATTGAGAACCTCCTCCTTTTTGAAGAACAAGTTGCATTGTAATATATTTATTTGCATTTAACAAGGAATTAAGGTTAAAAAGTAACGAAATTTTTACATGATGTAAAACATAAATGCATGTAAAATATATCCTAAATTAATAAAATTTATAAAAATAAAAATGAATCACCGAAATGTCTGTATGCGCATAACTTCCGATCGACTGCACCAAATCTGTTAATTCTTATTTTTATATTTGTTATTGTAAAAGCTTTGTATAGAAAAAAATTTAAAAGATAATTTTTCTAAAATATTTTTTTTTAAATCTCATGTTATGAAAAGTGAATGAAATAGTTTTTATCCCGGAAATCATGCATTAAGAGAGAGAGAATAGGGATGAATGTTTCTATGGGGAAGCCAGCCAGGGACGAACCCAAGCGAAGCGAGGGTGAGTCGCTAGTAATCTAATAAAAAGCAGGAAAAAAACAAATGCAATCTATGTATTGATATGATTATAACTCTTTTCCTTTATATTTTTTCTTATTTTCTAAATTACATTAAGTACTGTATACATTTAAATAAAAATATTAAAACATAAATACAGGAATTTGAGCATTTCTTTAACATTTTTATGGTTTTATTTGCGCATTAACATTTCTTTATAGTTTGTGCGCAGTAGGTAATTATGGTATTTATTGTCAACTATACTTTGCCTTGACATCACTATAAAGAGACACTTATGCATAAAACTCACGAGTCCGACCATCCATCAAACGTTAATCCGCTGTCAAGGAAATCATCGTGTTTACACGACTACACTAGTCGATTAAAGCAGTATGGAATCACCTATAGGCATTTTTGAGTTTTGATTTCCTAGTCAAACGTTTAAAAAATATATAATTTCGATTATATTGTTTTTAAATTTTATAAAATAATAAATATAAAAAGAAACATGTTCATTTCATGTTTCTATAATTTCATACAACCTATCACATGAGCGGGCGTTAACGAGCGTCAGCGAGCGTTAGCGCGGCGCTCAGAGAAAAAGTCTCTAGACGCAGGTGATCGCGCATTAACGCGCGTTTTGATAGATATGTAACGTCCGTTTGCTGTTCAGTTTAGCGCGCGCTTCCATTGGATGAGTTGAAACAAATTGGTAAGTGAGTTTATAGACATTAATAGAATTTATATTCCTGTCTCTCGGATTTGTATATATCGCGTTGGCATGCGTTAACGCGCGATAGATGTGAACTTAGCCTGACTGTGTTTGTCCAAAAAAATATTATGGGAGTAATTTTTTACGATGCGACAGATTTAGACTACAGTATGAAGTTAGTCGTTAAATCTTCCTTTCATGAAGTGTGGTAACTATATTAAAGATATTTATTCCGGTATTTCTATATTAAATACCCAACATGTATTTTAAATCGATAAAAATAAAAATTACTACACGCTTTTATTTAGTTTCACTTGACCTGGTCTATAAACAAATATTGGAAGTTAAATTTCATGCACTTCTCAATGTTTTATTTGGCTAAAATCTGGCACACACGTGTAGTTCTTGTGACAATACACGATTACCTAAATACAATCATTTTTAAACCAATATTGGGGACGTTACAAAATGGTGATTTATCATTTCCATAGTGACCCGTATAATAAAAGCCCTATCAGGACTTGGTGAGTGAAATAAAATATGCAAATTAACGTCATTATAAATCTAATATGGTCGTGGTCATACGAATAAAGTCCGCACATTGAATACGTTTTTCTCCGTCAAATAGGTAGTTTTCCGGCGATATTACACTCATTAAGGCCTCTTTGTAGCGCGATGAATAATCTGTATCTTCAAGATAATTCTCTTATAACTCGGAGACTGCGGTGGCGTCTTCGCTATCGTAGAACCAAGCGGGTGCGTGAAATATATTCAAAAAGACGTGAATTCGGTGAATTCCATCATATTATCTAAGACTTATATAATGAACACATACTGTTTCATGGTTATAACTAAGTTTATAAACTTTTTTACACCCATTTTTTATTTTTAACGCACGAAAGTGTATTAAAATCCCAACAAATTCGGAATGTATTCTGACGTCGGAACTACACGCACGCATAAGTACGACTAACTCGCACGCAGTATGCGTGCATCCATAGTACTGAAAGGTGAGGATCATTCGTGTGTGTTCGTACATGTTCGCACGAGTAAAATTCGGACGAAAACGTATCATAAGTGCGCGCGGCCTTAGAGTGCCGATAGATGTCAAAACCAGATAAAGGTAAAGAGTTTATATTTACAAATTTTAACTTAAGATCAAACAATTAAATTTGAATATCCAAAAACAACAACTGTTTGTTTATAGTTTTAAGTTTTCACTTCTGTCGCAGTCCTCATGACTGCTTTTTTTATATTTTTTTATTATGAATAAATGAAATGCATGATTTACCCTCGCATCATTAGGGTGCGTCCCTATAATACAATTATAGATACGTTTTAACGTTAAGTACCTATAGATTCCTACCTATCTCAGGGCACATCTACGGTCTCTACGGCGCCACGATTTGAAGGCGGATTTGCATAGATCTGAACGAGATACGCTGAAAAGTAACAATCATTTTTTTCAATATCTCGCTTAGTTTCGGAGATATCGATACTCAAAAAGCGAAAAATGAAATATTTTTTTTTACTCTTTAAAATTGGTTGTTTTTACCAACAAATAAACTCCAGCGGTCAAAATTAAAACTTAGCTATAGCGAAATCATCTTATTAATAAAATTTAATCATTCTTTTCATCGTATCGATATCTCGACAGATACCAAAAAATTATATTCATAATTTTCGTTTTAAACCTGGTAATACCTCAACATCAGTTTGGTTTTAGACCGCAGCATTCTACGGTAGAACAAGTGCATCGGGTGTGTGATAAGATAAGACAGTCCTTCCCAGAAAAAAGAATATTGCTCCGCTGTATTCCTGGATATCCAGGCAGCCTTCGATGAAGTGTGGCATAAAGGCCTTCTCCATAAAATAAAAACGTCTCTGCCGCATAGTTACTACCTGTTGATGGAGTCATACCTCACAAACAGAATTTTCCAGGTGTGAGAGGACGGAGAGCTATCTGACATCCAAGATATAAAGGCGGGAGTTCCACAGGGATCTGTCCTTGGCCCTGTCTTATATACCATCTACACGTCTGACCTCCCAGAAACACAAGGGGTAACTACGGCTACATTTGCTGACGACACAACAATTCTCGCAAGCAGCAAGGATCCGATCACAGCGTCCGCCGTCTTGCAGAATAGCCTTGATAAGATTGACGAATTGATCCAGAAATGGAGAATCAAAGCCAGCACAACTAAATCCGTGCATGTCACGTTTACGCTGAGGAGGGGACGCTGTGCTCCGGTAAAAATGGGGGGCAATGTTCTGCCACAGAGTGACTCGGTCCGATACCTGGGTATGCATCTAGACAAAAGGCTGACCTGGAAAAAACACATCAAAACAAAACGAGACGAGCTGAGCTTACGGTTCAGAAACATTTACTGGCTGATGGCACGTAACTCCAAACTGTCAATCGATAACAAACTGCTGATATATAAAACGATCCTAAAACCAATATGGATGTATGGCGCACAGCTGTGGGAAAGTGCTTGCGACTCCAATCTAAACATAATAAGGCTGCAAAATGGCATCTTAAGAACCATTTCAAATGCACCATGGTTCATCACTAGCACAGAGATCCATGAAGCTCTGAGCATAAGAACTGTTAAGGAGGAGTTAAAACTAACAGGGAATAAATATAAAACACGGCTGGAAAACCACCCAAATGACCTAGCTACCGCACTAGCAAATATCAGCTACACTAAACGACTGAAACGCCATGACATACAGAAACTTGGTGACAGAGGGTGAAGGATGAGGTGTCTCCTGCTGGGGAGCTCCTTGGGCACGATAAGGATGACAGGGAACAAATCTGCTTATAGTTTGGGACTGATCGCAGATAAGCACAAAAAAAAAATCGTATTATTTTTCGAAAATATATCAAACACCGTCAAAAAGTAAAAAAAAATTCATTTTAGGATTTTCGAGTATCGATATTTCGGAGATTAAGCGAGATATTGAAAAATTTAGTTCTTACTTTTCGTCGTATCTCGTCGAGAACTATGCGAGTCAGCCTTCGAATCGTGGCGCCGTAGGAACCGTAGAATCCCTTTTCACAGAGATGAGATATTTTCTTGCAGTAAATGAATCCTTTAGTTTGACCTGTTTAACCAACTGTCATAATACAAAATTTTATCAAAATCTGTCCAGTGTTTTTCTCGTGATTCATTCCCAGACGGACAGACATACGGACAGACGAAAATTCTAAAAACTTTAGATTTGGCCTCTGTATAATAATGACTATTTCAATAAGATTTTCCAAAAAAATATTTAATGTACAGATTCGACACACAATTTTATTATATGTATAGATAACATGAAATACATATTTAATGAACGAGTACAAAAATTCGTTTTAAAATCCAGACGCAGATTATTAATATGTTTTAATTATATAATGATGCGTCATGAATCGTCAAAATCCTGCGTTGTTGTTAAGCGTTGCGTTACGATTACCGATTTTATGAAATTTGGACATCCCTGACGCGCCATTGTAGTGGATAGTTGGTGTTCTTTAGAGTGTCATAATGACCAGCCTGTGTGTTTTTATACTGTTTTAAAAGCACAAATGGATATATTTTTTACATTCGATTTAGTGAAAATAACTACCGTGACAATAATGTGTGCCGAACCTTTTATACCTGACTAATTGACATCTTTGAGTCACCACGGTTAGTTCAAATTGATGGCTAAGGTTATTTGTTGTGACATGTAGTTATATATCTACAATAATTTGTCATCGGCGTTTATTAAAAAGTATATTAATGTGCATTATAATGCGTTTATAGTAGGGCAAATATTCACATAAATAAATAATTAAATTGGATGTAACTTTTTGTGTAAACAGAATTAGATGCCTACACAGCATACACCCCTATTCTTTACTTGGCGTTGGTCTTACGCTTTGTGAAGAAACGAACATAACTTCAATTCAATGCGCTTGAAAACGAACGATGTTGAATTGGTATGAATCTTTTTATAAATAAATTTACTTGTAATAATAAAATTTATGAATATTAAAATTATTAAATCAATAATAGTTATATTTTTGTATTTCTTTTGTGCTCAATGTAAATGTGACAAATATTTTTATCATACTTCTACACATTTTATTTAGAATTTAAAATTCATGTATTATAAAGCTGATTATTATATATTCAATATTTTTGATACTTGAGTTTATATGATACCAAAATACTATGAAACTACATCCAACATTACTTACATATTTTATACTATTAAATATATATTACTTCTTTAATATAAATATATAAATAAATTTAATACCTACAACAAATAATAAGCTATATGTATCTGAATAGTTATTTATGTGAATATAATAACATATTGACCATTTATTTTTAAATTATTTTATATGAAAGTAAAATCTTTCATACTATTAATATACTTAAATTTTAGTCTTTAAATATGAGACCTCAATCATTAAAATTATTATTTATTTTATTATAGATCATAATTATTTTATATAAAGCTGAAATGTTGCTTATTATTTTTATGAATGTAACTAAAAAAAAGTTAACTTTATTTAGCGAAGAGATTAGAAAATAGAATAATATCCTTTAAATTCGTACATAAAAATTATAACAAAACTTACAGATATATTAGGATAAGATAACCAACATTATTTGCTAGAATAATATTGATTGTTTTATCATTTTATACTCAATTATTATAGTGAAACTTTAAACTGTAATTTATATGTACATGTTATAGGCTACTTGATTAACCGGCCAGTATTAACATGGACCAATCATTATGAATAATGACCAAGTGATTGTCGGTCAAATTGATAAATTTATTACTTTAGCCAGCCCATATTAATAATGTCTGATGTGGTCCATTTAAAAAATAAAGATTTTAGATAGCTTGAATTTCTCATTTGGACTGGGTAGTATGAATACTTCCCAACTTCTAACTGGGCAATGTGATAAATAAAACACTAAACCATGACGCCCCGACGGCAGGCCTGCAGAAACAGATAACAATTACAGATTGCTCCCACGGTTCACTCCGCTATCAGGGAAGTACCAGTAGCAGCCCTTGATTCCCCATACAAAGTTCCACCCCCCTTTTCACCCCCTTAAGGGATGATTTCCGGGTAAAAACTATCCTACCCCAGGGTCTCAAATAATCTCCATACCAAATGTTGTCTGAATTGGTTCAGTGGATTAAGTATGTAAAGGTAACAGAATGGCAGACAGAGTTACTTTCGCATTCATATATTAGTATGTATTATGTAAGTTTAATTTCATTTAATAAACAAAAATACTTCTTCTTCATACTGACCAGGAAAAGTGATTATTCATGCAGTTTTACTTACATTGCCCTATTGTCACAGGCGTTATGTGTAAAGACCGGTCATTATGCATAGTGACCAGACTTACCAAGTTACCTATAACATACATAAATAAATTAAGGATCATTAAAACACCCATTATACAAATAGTTCTGTAAATTGTTTTATTTATATTTGGCTTACTTTAATTCACTCTTTCACTATTAAGTATAGGTACATTAAAAATATTACATTTGAAATTATTAGGCTTCGTTTGGTGGTTTGGTGAAGAGGGCCAGTGAGGATGGAGGTCGGAACGCGTGCTCTGGACGTGTTGCCCCTCCTTCAGGAGCGGGTGGCCTCGCTCACTGGCGGCCGGGACCGGCGCGGTGGACCCATTATATGGTTCCCCGCCAACTCAAGGCGCGACCGAGTCGCGCCAGATGATTATCGGCGTTTGCTGCACTATCTTTTTAGCATACCTAGGTAATATTTAATTAGTATTAGCATAATAAAAATTATCATCAGTATCTCGGGAGCCTACTGTTTAACATTTTTATTATTATATTTTCAGTGATTCTGTTAGATCCCATGGCTTTACAATCCTTATCGATATGAGGGGTTCAGCATGGGCAGCTATCAAACCAATATTAAAAATACTTCAAGAGCATTTTCCTACATCCGTCCACCAGGCACTCGTAGTAAAGCCTGATAACTTTTGGCAAAAGCAACGCACAACTATAGGAGCACATAAGTACAAGTTTGAGGTAATATTATATGAACCAAAATAAAATAATTTACATAACTTATTTGTATTTTCCGACAATATCTATTATGATAAATGTAGTGCTTAGAGAAGTTGACAATTTATTTATTAGTATACATATACAATATTTGCCTAAATCTGTCGTATTAACCTATATTAGATACTAATGTTTCCTTGCAAAACACATATTAGTCATAGATTATACTGAGTACATGGATGTGTATTTTTTATAAAATGTTATTTCAGACGACGATGATTAGCTTAGAAGCACTACCCAAAGTTATAGATAGTTCACAACTGACACCAGATTTAGATGGCACTCTCCAATATGACCATGCACAGTGGATAGATCTGAGACTGGTAAGTTTGTGATTGCTAACATTACATGTTCAACACAAGTATTATAGCAATGCATGATATTTACACTTTGGCTTGTTGATTGCTTGTTTTAATTGGTACAGAATATGTGCTTATAATAAAAGAAAAACTTCTTAATAGGCGCTAGAAGAGTTAATGTGGCAAGCTGGTGAACTGTTAGATAGATTAGATGATCTGCAAGAAGATGTAGCTCGTGCAGATTTTGCGGACGACGTGACTGGCGCTAGGCGAGCCATAGATGCACATTCAGACATAAATAAGAGACTGGCCAAGATACCCGTGGATGAACTAGAAGCTCAGGGTAAGTGGTGAAATATGAGTTATTATTACACTTTGATTCAATAATCAATAATATACATACAGTTTTTGTGAACCAGTTGTTCTGTGATAATATTTCTTAAAGATATTTAATTTTCACTCTTGATTACTGTTGTTAAAATATGTCTTATTTATCTGCAATCTACTTTACCACAGTATTGAAATGTTGAAAAGAATGTGTTGAATGAAAAGCAAATAGGTTAGGATAGTTATAATTGAGTTGAAATTATAAATATATATTTTTTTAAATATGTTGGGATATTAACACAGCACCATCTGGTATAGTAAGCTACGAGGCTTGTGTTATGGATACCAGGTAGTTGATACACTACACATTACAACTTTAAATACATACACATTATAAATATAAACACCCATGACTGGAGTACAAACATTCGTGCTCATCACACAAATGAATGCTCTCAGCGTCACTCGAACCCGCGACCGCTGACACAACAAGTAGGGTCACTACAAACTAAGCCAAACATGTCGTCAATTAATTAATAGCGGATGATAAATACATATAATTAAACAGATAAGTGATGTAGAATTATTGTAACATCTGTTAATTATTCTTCCTGTGACATAATTACATAAGATTATTTTTTTGTTCTTTTCATGAATACAAACTGCAGTTGCGTGACTTGTTTTCTTATTCGATATATCTATGTATATGCGCGTTCAGGTTTCATTGGAATGTTGCTAGTGAGTGTTTCATAATCATAATATACTGAAAGATGTCGGCGTAAAGACATGTGTTTTGATTGTCTACGGTGTTCTGACGCTAGTGGTATGATTTTTTCTTATAAGTAGTTATAATAAATGAAGTGGCGAGGCTTACGTATAATTATAGCGATATGTTTCTGCGCATCCTATATTCTAGGCATAACTTAACATATTTTATACGGATGACGTTCCTTGCTGTGTTATGTTCATTTTAAATCGTTTAAGCCATAGGTTCTGTTAATGATAATTATTTAAGGTTACCATTCTTAGGCAAAGAATTTAATTCAACCGTTTAAATATATTATGTTATTGTCACGAAATGTATCACGTTGTGTATATCGAATACCTATAAACGCTGATATAGTATGATCAGATACTCTTTATATTATTACATTCTATAATAGTATAGGATCCCAGTATAAAAAGATCTTCACCGAGCTGGTTAATGGATGAAAAGTATTTTATATTAAATTATTAATTAAATATATTGCAAATTGTTTGACTAAAAAAATTCAGTCCAGAATATGATTAATTAACAATTTAAAAACTAATTATTTTTAAACATGGTTTGGTAAATAGACAAATTCCATACCAATCGAAAGTATGCAGTCTATAAAATATGCAGAAGTTAGGTTGACTATTTTTTTCCCGTCACAACTCTTGGGTAGGCAGGTATAAACTTTTTATTTACTAAAGATGTATATACTTTAATGTGACATATAGCTAGCTCGGTGAAGGTCGTTTTATCCTGGGATCTTAGACTATAAATTGGAACCCTATAACGTTACAACAATTGTTATTGTCACAGTAAAAATATGTTTAAAATATAGGAATTGTTGACCTTGTGTATGTTACATATTTGTATGTTAAATGTACCTCGTGGTCTAGTGGCTAGCATAGCTTTTGGTGGGTCGGGCCAAGTTTAGTTCTTGACCCTTCCTGTTAAAAAATCTCGGTAACGGCCCGGGGCCGGGGTTATTAGTGGTGTTTGACTCCCGTGCCTCGAAGAGCATGTGTCGCGTCGGCCCTACGGCTGATCTGTCACTGCGTGTGTCCAATTGTTGACCTACCGGGGTATGAGAGTGATAGGAATAGAGATTGCATTTGCACTCAGAGACATTAGCCGCCGTAGTCGTTGAAATCGGTCAGGAGGACATCATCATGTTACATTTGTATAATTTTATATATTCAATGTAATGTGAATGTGTATGCATAAGGCGAGCGCGTCGTGCAACGGCTGGAGACGGCGGCGGCGGCGTGCGCGGAGGCGAGCGGCGCGGCGGAGGCGGCCTTCCACTGCGGCTCGCCGGCCGCCCTCCGCGCGCAGCTGTCCGCTGTGCGCTCGGCGCACGCGCACGCGCACAAGCTCTGGCAACACAAGAAGATGCAGCTCGACCAGTGCTTCCAGTTGAGGTTGTTTGAACAGGACTGCGAGAAGGTATCATTGAGCTTCATATCACTGAACTTCATATTATACTAGCGACTTTCGCAATGCTCGGCTTTGCGGCATGTGTCTGTCGCTGTGTGCCTAACAGTAGTCTGTGTGTAGTACTCTGTGTACTAAAGCACAGACACTACATAGAAGCAATAATAGTATAATACAAGCATAATCTCTTAATTGTCATCACGTCGTGATCCTTTGTCCGTTCTCGGTATGAAGCACGGCCTCATTAGATTTCGGATTCTGTATCTATATTAATGACTATTCCAAAAAATATTTAATGTACAGACTTCGACTCAGTGAGAATTTTATTATATGTATAGATTACATACAGTATTTAAGAATATATCTGATACATATTTTTATTTAAATTTTGTGTAAATATTATTTTTGTATAAATTGAATAAAACATATGACTTATAATCCAAAATCTTTTTACACATCATACATTCTTTATAGACCAAAAATGTTTTAAAAATTATTTAACTCCTCTGTTTATTTTCCATCCGTTTCTTGAAATGTGTTTACTGAGCCACGGTCTTGCATAAACACGGTTTTATTAGACTGAGATAAGAATTTGCATTATCACAAAGCAATTGTCTTGTGATTGAATAAAATCGGTGACCTATATATCATACCTACAAACTAGTAAAGTTCGAACCGTGTTTGCTGTGTTCGGCTCTAAAATTTACTTCTTTCTTTGTTTCTTGTAGTAATATGTATGGAATATAAATTTATTTATAAAATCAGTAAAACAAACATATAAAGGGGTAAACATTTTATTTTACTTTTGACATAAGAAACTACTATACATCCCGCCGTTTCGAAAGTCAAGAAGTAACAAACATACACGCTAAAGTGTGAAGAACTAATAATCATACACACATATTTTTATTAGTAGTCCAATACAATAAATTAATAAAAAAATATGCAGGTCTTTAAGTATCGAAAATATTTCCGCAGATGCTAGAATGGATTGTTAATCATCGTACAGCGTTCTTGGCGACATATGTCGAGATCGGACGGTCATGTGCCGCCGCTAAACGACTCCAGGAAGAGCATGCAAGGTAAAAAACATAAACAAAAAATATATCTTCACATAAAAATATATCTTCACATTTGAATTTTGTTTCCGAAGTGAACAAATAAATGAACACAGTACACTTATATATTACGCATTATAATAATTGATAATAAATCATTTAGTAGAAAAGGCAATGTGACCTACATTGCATTTTTAGAAATCATAATAATATAGAGTTGATTACAGTAGGAAGTGGATGTCTTAAGTAGTGAAATCATGTTTGATTTACAGTTTTGCATTAATCACAATAAAAATTTGCAATAATTATCATGATTTTGAAATTAATGAAAATTTTTATGTAAATTTCATAGAACAACTTTCTTAATATAAGGTCTCAAGGTATATGAATTATATCTTTTGTTAATTATATACTAGAAAATCGTGCATTACGCACGTAATCGAAATAATATACTATACCTAGTAGTAGGTAAGACCAAGAGGGGATTTTTTGGAGTTACTCAAGCGCGGCAGATTAACATAAGGAGGATACCTTGCACTCTGTTGAGTACCTCCACCATAATATAAGTCCTCTATATAAAGGGATGCGTTTAGGGCAGCCGATCAAAATATTTAAAAAATATTTTGATAAGGTAGAAATACTTGAAACCGTCAGATTAAGGTATGGTGGGCTAATTACGTCCTAAAAAGTGTGCAAATGAATAATCTGCCGATTTACACAAGCCGAAGAGGCAAAAATCGTACATAAACTTATAGCCTATTTTTGGTAATTATAGAATATTGAAAGAATTTTCAAAATCGGATCACTTTCAAAGATTACCCTTTAAATCCAAACTTACAATCTTTTCCACTTTATAATATTAATGTACGTACATAATATATTCTGTATTTTTATTAAAGTTGTTTTAAATTATTTTTATAATTTATTCTTTACCACTGTTATTAATAGCCAATGCAGCTCTAATGTTTTTATATTGTATTTTTAATTGATTAATGTTTTAAGCACTATTTCCTACATAACTTCGTTTCTATTATCGCATATTGCATGCAATGAGCTAAATAATTACATAAAGTAGTCTTTTTATTAGTATGAACGAAATAAGTGATATCTAATAAAATACATATTATATGCAATCTTATATTTTTCTAAAATACAATCAACAAAGATATTATATTACAGTAGAGACTTAATTATCCGGCCCTCAGTTATACGAATTCGCGATTATCGGGACTACCCATTACGATCGAATAACTATACAAGTCGAATCTATACATGCAAGGACATTTCGGAACTAGTGACCGCCCGTACCCACCCTTGCCCTGCGCGTTCGCTGTCGCCGCGTTTTTGTTTTAGTTATAGTTTTTAGTTTGATTTGTTTTTAGTTGATTTAAATGAAACACCAACATTAGGTATTACGTAATATGTATTATGTTCGAAAACCGTTTTTTTTCATACATTCGATTATCCGGATTTTCGATTAACCGACTGCCTACCGACAACAATTAGTCCGGACAATCGAGTTTCCACTGTATATATGTTATATTATAGGATATTCAATTTCCTTTTATTTCTATTCTTACTATTTCGTATTATTTAATATAGAAATCATTATACATAGTTACATTATTTCATATAAAAAGCTATGATATAGGCCAGGAAAAACCTAAATGTAATTAAATATTTTTTTCTTTTACGCCAAAGAACCTCAAAGTTGGTGGTCCTATTTAAATTTGAAAAAAAAACCCACTCTAATTGTAGAAAATAGGAAATGATTTTTAAAATACTTTATTCTTTTCTACTACTATGTCTAATGTCTCTACACTAAAAAAGAAAAAAAAAACTTTAATTTTTTACACGATTATGGCAAAGCCAAAAGGAAGGGCTATGTTTTTAGAAGTCAATGTATGTTTATGTTCAAGTATGCTCCATCGTAGCGCCTAAACTACTCATCCGAATTTGATTAATTGTCAAACGATTCGTCATTATTGTCTTTGTGTCGTTCGCCATATTAGGCCACTCTCTTTGGAAGTAGTCTATGATATTTAATTATTTTTTTCCTCATATAATTATGTTTTTCCATAGTCGTATAATAGTTTTATCAACTTGTTATATACACAGGTTTGCTGCAGCTTGCACGGGTGGAGGACGGCCGAGCGTAGCTCGTGTGACAGCGGCGGCGCGTCGCCTCGCCGACAAGCGTCACTACGCCGAGCCACAGATTACTGCCCTTGCTCATCGACTCGAGCGAGCTTATAAACAGCTCTCTGCTGGTAATTCTATATAATATAATACTAATATGACACAGTTTGTTATCTATTAAATTACTGTTGTTCATAACTTTCCACATTTGTCTCATAGAGCATATATACATATAACTCGCAAAATACAAGCAATTGTTTTAAAGCATTGACTGATAATGCTTAAAATATTTTTAAATGAAGGCTGATAAAGTTTAGGTTAAAAAAGATCTAAATTATTTCTAGTCATGAATTAATAAAATATACATGTTTTATTGAACAAGTGCAATTTTCACACAATTTTCTTTATTCTTACTTTCACAGTTTCATCTAAACCAGTCATTGTGCAAATCTTTTCATTGTCGATTATGTTTCAAAATAATGTAAAATATAACTTACAATAATAATAATGTTACAAGTATTAGTTGCATAGCTAATATCGAAGTGACATCCAGGTCTAGAGGAGCGTTCGGCAGTACTGTCCCTGTCGGTGGTGTTCCACCACAAGGCAGAGGCGTACGCGGGCGCGGTGGGCGGATGGGGCGCGCAGTGCGCGGTGGCGCTGCAGCTGGCGGCGGGTGGGCCCTCCGCGCCGCCCTGCCCCGACCCGCGCGCGCTCGAGCAGCACGCGCAGCGGCACCGGCAGCTCTACGAACACATGTGCCAGGCGTACACTGAGGTACTGATGTTGCTAAATGTTTATGCTAAATTTACTTAAAGGATTTTGATGAAATTGTTAAGCTAAGTTTTAGAGAGATATCATAGTACACAAGTGTATTGCACAGACACATTGCATTCTCTATTGCTTTTCCTCTCGCAGTCCGATGGAACGATACTTCGACACGACCGGTGAGAGCTAAGATGCAGCTAAATATCAGAGTAATGTGTTGCAGCTATCTTTTAACGTATAAATATCTTGTGTCACGGTGTCTAGCACTCCTCCGGAAGGGCTCGACCGATTTTAATATATTTTTTGTATATTTGGTAGGTATTAGAATAGGTCGTGAAGTATCTTTAAACCTCCATGTTTTAATAGCGATTTTAGTATTTTTGTATGATCAATATCCAAATAATTTAATATTATATAAATACATAGAAACGAATTAACTTTAAACACTAAGTATTTTCCGTATTACTGCTCTAGACACACACTGCGCGATTAAGTTTTAAGAAGAAATATAAAAGGTAAAGACAAACTTTTAATTCCATTATTGGAAAATAGTATAATGATTAATTAATTATTTACAGGTTCATTCTACAAGTAAAAAATTGCTGTACCAACTTGACCATTTAGTGCAAGTTTGTCATCAGACCGATCCAGCAGATATGGTGAGAGCTTATACATTTTACTGTAAGTAATAATAAGGATGATTTTTAAAAATCTTTATATAACATTATGTCGATTCATTGCCATGTGAAAATTCCATAAATAAACATTTAATACAATATAATATAACACACATATAAATTTAATGACTTGATGGAACAGAGTGAAGGCTCTGTGAGCTCAGCGGGAGGTAGCAGTGGCGACCCAGCGGCGGACTACAGCTCGGGCGCGAACCACGTCCTGGCTGTCATACACCAGATATTGGGCCATCACCGCGCGTTGGAGTCCCGCTACCACCAGGCCCGCCTCAAACTGCATCAACGGCTTGCTTTGCTGCTTTACAAAGAGGATTGTAGACAGGTTAGTACGCGGGTTGCTTATATTTTTAATTTAATCAATCAAAAAAGTACTAGGTACACAAACAGCGACAAAAAAAAATTCCTCACCGAATGAGCACCTTCATGACCATTTCGGTGCGCTTTTAATCTAGTAGTAATAGTATACTCCGACGGTAAACAATTAAACATGTCTCAGTGCTCGTTTAGAAATTGGAAAAATCACACATCTAAGACGCTAAAAAAGTATAGAGTTTCATATTTTCGATAAGTATTAATATTATCATTATATAATATCGAAATATATTAGATTCATCGGCTGGCACCGAGTTCGAAAATATATGATTAGGTATCTATTCTAAATGAAAACCTCCGTTTAGTTATTTTCTACATTTTAGTACCTGGAAGTCGGTTTTTTTTTAAAATTTTTTATTTTCTTTATTTAATATTTCAGATAAAAAATGGAATTCGTGTTAAAAACCGGCTTTCAATCTATTACCCATAACATTATTTTTCAACCACAAACTTTAATAAAGGATAAAAATTAAGTAATAAAGAGCCACCTTTAGTTCTGTACTGTCCGCAGTGAGCGCTGACATCAGTCTTGTGTCCCCCACTATGCCTTACGCACCCAGCGGACTTTATAAATACTGATATTTTGTCAAGAAATCATCGTAAAAACAAAAAAGTATTAGACAATTCGACTCCACTCATTCCTTGTCTTAACAACGGTGAGTCTCGGTCGGAAAAGTTTTTGATTGTGAAAGTTAATTTTTATACATAGCTTTGTGAAAACAACTTTAAGCATTGCATATAAGGTGGAATTTACATTGTTGTATATTTATTTCAACAAGAATTACCTAAACAATAATTTTGTGACAGTTTTAAGAGAACTTTTGCATGGGATAGTGTATCTAGTACTTTTTTGATCGATGTTTTATATACATATTTATAAATAGGTATACTTTATTTTACGCCAAAATAAATATATACGTACATAAAGGTAGCTTTGATAAAAATCTGATTTATTTTAATTAATTACTTTTAAACGAAAAGTTGGCAATAATATATCATAAAATATAGTTTTTTTTTATTTTAGGTACTCGACTGGTTAGGGAATCATGGTGAAAAGTTTTTAATGAAAAACACAGGTATAGGAAGGAATCTCCATAAAGCTCGAATGTATCAGAAATCTCATGAACATTTTGAAAACGTAGCTCAGGTGAGTGTTTAACTTTTTATTATTATATCAATACTATTCTCTCTCTGTCTCGCCCTCAACATTCATATATATTATTTTTTTCATTAGAATACTTATACAAATGCGGAAAAGCTCTTATCGGCTGCTGAAGAGTTAGCTCGGTCTGGGGAATGTGAAGCGGAAGAAGTGTTGGGGGTGGCGCGGGAATTGGAAGCGCACGTTGCAGCCTTCGCGGCGCGCGTCGACCGACGGAGACGTCGCCTCGACCTGGCTGTGCTGCTGTATACACATGAGAAAGAGGTATGGAATGGTGATATTTATACATTTGTTGTATAATACGTAATATGTGTTTAATATTTGAGTAGTTGTTCCAAATTAAAAGTAAATCCTGATGGTTTGGTAGAAAATATATTTTTGAAGAATAAATTTATTTTTGAAGAACCTTGTCGAAGTAGTTGAATGTACAGATATTGAGCAAGTGTTATGAGAGGATTTCAGTGCAATAGTTTTTAGAAACATGGGCCAATTTAATTTGAACTTTTCGTGAATATCCAAATACGATTTGAGCATAACTTTCGGTTGTTTTAAGTGATTGCAGCCTAAATAAAAAATTAATGGTAACTGAGTTTCTATTTGTTCCTTATTAAAAGTTTATAGCGTTTTAACCCTTTAATGTTCCACATCCAGCTTCTTCAATGGCTGGAGACGCTCCGGGGCGGGGGCGCGGGCGCGGCGGCCGCAGACGAGAGCCCCGAGGCGGCGCGGCGCGCGCTCGAGCAGTGCGCACAGCATCGCGCCGCCTCGCTCGACGCATGCGTTGCCACCATCGCGCACGGGGAGGCCTTGCTGCAGGACCTTAGGTGAGTGCGCACTGCCAATTTGGTTTTATGTAGTCTTAAATGTATTCGTATATATTCAGCCCTTTTTTAACGTCCCACTGCTGGGCACGGGCCTCCCTTCAATACGAGGGGGATTAGGCCATAGTCCACCACGCTAGCAAAGTGCGTGTTTGCGGACTTCACATGTCTTTCGAAAACTTGCTAGTTTCTCTCAGACATGCAGGTTTCCTCACGATGTTTTCCTTCACTGTAAGGCAAGTGGTAATCATGTTGGAAATGATTCGCACTTGAAAATATCAGAAGTGCGAGACCCGAGATTGGAACCATGATGTGTAGTCACTCGGTTTCCCAAGCGACCGCGTTACCACTAGGCTATCACTGCCTCAGTTTTAAATAATATACACTAATCGGTGGTCTAGTGGCTAGCAGGTACAGCTGCAGACGAAGAGGTCCTGGGCTTGAGTTCCAGATTGGGCCAAGTTTAGTTATTGAGTCTTTCTTAAGAAAGTCTCAGTAATAGCTTGAAGTTGGAAAATTGGCGATATTTCCACCGAGTACCTCAGAGAGCACCTGTTGCGTCGGTCCTGTGGCTGATGTCATCGCAAATGTCGAATTGTCATTTGTCGTCCCACCAAAGTATTAGTACGAGAGCTGGCTGGCATTTTAGAGCAGGTATTTTAGGAGAAGAGGAGAAGAATAAGATGAGAATTTAAACAACACTAATTTAACCATGGGCAGGTTTAAAAGTGCTTGTCTGGCTGGAGGGTAGCGGTTGCCTTGCCACCCTTAAATTTTCATTTTTGCCGTTTAATAATTTTAAGTTAGTAAAAATATTATTCTTTTGAATTTATATAACACTAATTAATTGCTAGTGAACCTAAACTTTGTTTTCTTTCTCCTTTTTTGTTATGACGAAATTGCTTTTTTTGCCTTTGCCATGCCTTTAAAATAAAACTACGAGATATTTCTTTTTTATTTAAAATAAGACTATCTTTTCAGCAATGATTGTAAATATTTATTGCTTTATTTCAAACCACTTAGGCTGCGCATGTCGAAAAAACAACTCGACAGCATGTTCTTCCCGATTTCAGAGTATTAAGTGTATACTTAAATTAAACTAAGCTTAAATAAAACAAAGAATTATTAAATATCATATATTTAAGTTCTAGAGAATTAAAAGATTTTCAGTATAAGTTTTCAAACAGTAAAATAAAATAATTGTGTAAATTACGACGGATCATTTGATCTGTACATTTTTACTTTATCTGTATTTAGAGCAATATAATCATTAGCAAGTAGGCTGTTGAGCAAATGTAGTGGAAGTTACAAATCATGAAAGGTCCTCCTTTAAGTCTAAGGTTTTATATAATAATAGCATAATTTTGTTAAATGTATAATTATTTCCTAGCGTCCAGACTGCGCTGGCACCACCATTTTGTCAACCGGGATTTGGAGTATCTGTATATGACTGAATAGCCGAAGTTACATGCATTTGTATAGAATCAAATTATTTTCTTGGTATAAGTAAGAGAAAATAAGTGTGGTTGAAAACTAATGCTAATATACAGTACTTCAATGCCTACAAGTATACTTTCACATGTGTATGTACAAGTAAACTATCTTCTACTTCGTATGCGTAAAGTAATTTACAACGCATTGTTTTGTTGGTTGAGTCCTAAAATAAGAAGATGGTAGAGGTTGAAACGTGTACCGCAAGTACGACTTACGTAAAGTAGAAATGAATGATGAAATACTTAGTAAACAAAAGAACCCTCCAGACATCGAGCTGACACATCCACAAGATATTTTAGGACGTGATAAATTATGCCTATGCTATAAATGACAAGATATAGCAAAAAGTATCTTCTCATTATAATATTTAAACAGTTAGTATGTGGAAGGAATTGCCCTCCTTCCATTTTCCAGCAATACTTAAAGCGTATTACCTACGTAAAAGCGTGTTATAGTACCTTAATCGAAGGACGCAGTAGAATGAGAGCTACGTATTTGAGTTCTACATGCATGGCTTTGTTTGCAGCAATTGAAGTCACAGAACAGTTTAACAATTTAAGTTAAAACTTTCGAGATCAAGAATAGCAATTTCGCTTTGGTTTTTAGTCGGAAGTGTATTCGAATTGACATCGAAGTTAATACGAAATCTTCATATTTTAGTTAAAATCAAGCGAATGTCGACTTTAAGGGTAAAAATAAAAAATAATAAACGAAATATTATGAAAGTGGGCCATCTCTTACTAAAAGCAAACAATAGTTTTGCTCAGGCTTATAGCCCACTGAAAGTAACTAGCGGCCTAATTTTTATACATCAGTGTAGACAGCGATGTATTCAGTGAAATTATTCTAAAACACGCGATTGTATAGCATCGCATTGTTTCATTTAGGCATATCTCCCGAGATCGACTTTTGAGAAACTAATACAGATTTTTTACGCGTGAATAGGTACAGGAGAGATGTTTAGTATAATCTTGTCTCTTGAGAATGTCGTGCACATTTTGTTTAAAAATGAAGTTTAAAAAAGAAGAAGAAGTAATAATTTTAAGTTAGTAAAAATATTATTCTTACTTATTTAACACTAAATAATAATAGCGAGTGAACCTAATTTTGTTTTCTTTCTTCTTTTTTGCCATGATGAAGTTTTTTGCCTTTGCCAGCCCTTTAAAATAAAACTATGAGATATTTCTTTTTTTATCTTAAATAAGACTATCTTTTCAGCAATGATTCCTGTAAAGCACTCGAAATGTCGGTAATCAAAAATCAGCAATTGCTAAGTATCCGTGTTTGACATCGATTGCAATTGTTGTGTTCGAACTCAAGAAGTTGTAGTGAATAGTGCCGGCCCAGTTACTCCATAAACAAGCAGTAGGCTTTTTGATTCAATTTTCATTTGGCACGTGATTTGAATGCCTCTCCTAGATCTTACTAATGAGACTAACGTTTTTAATTATCATGCGAGATCCACTTTTCTTTATAAGTGACAATCCTATTCAGAATCATCTTATTTGTGTGCCTACATAACAGTCTTTGACTAGGTTTCTGTTGTATCCACCATTTTATCTTTCCCATGTGACTTAAATAAATCTATGTAGTCTTGTCACTTACGTTGAAGAATCATAAGTTGAACTCTGAGGTTGCTTGAGATAAATATTCTTCGAGTATGGCTTTTGATGTGATGGTTATCTTTATTTTTCGTCTCTGGTTAGCCACGAGACTCATTGTGGAAATATAAATTTCCAGAACGTAAGTGATCACAACAAAAAGGATGAGGAGCCGATTATACATAGATATATCGTACTTTATTGATGTTGTGTGCACTGTATCTCTGTTGTATTAGGGGCACCACGGCCACACAGACAGTGCTCCAGAGAAAAATTGAATGTCGGGAAAACTGATTTTTTCAAAGAAATTTTAAAGCTATGTTCATTCATTGTATTGAAGAATTAACTTTCTATTTTAATACAAGATACAGGTACACTAATCAGTACAAAATATCAGTAATATCATAAGTGAGACCAATTAATATTATTATAGATTTTTCCTTAGATCATTTTGAGATATCAGTATAAGCCGGAATTCGAGTCGGATAAAAGTGTTCTTTCAGAAAAAAAAACTTTAGTTAAACTTACGTAACCTACACTAAGATTGTCCTATTACTTATAATGCTACTTTGCAATAACTTATGGTCCTATAATAATTATTTTTACGTTTACCTCATTTTCTTAGTGTGTAAGGTATATTTCGGTCAACATTAGATGCTACAAGTAGTTATAGGTTCGTGGTACGCAATGATTCAGCTCCAGTCTAACTTGTTTACCGTATGAGGACAAGTGGCTTCAACAGCAACGGCGCCAAAGTGCAGTATTGCTGGGATCTTCGTGCCCTTTTAAAGCCTATTCAAGTTCTATTCTTAAATGCTATAAAATAAATCAAAGACACTCTTCTTAATCATTTCCGTATTAAGTGCTTGTTATATTTAAAATGTTCTGAATTCTGCATTCATCTGAAAAAAGTTGAAATAATGAATTTAAATCTCTTATTTCATCAAAAAAGCTCGTAATAAAAAATTAAGAAAGAACGCCTGAATATTTATTTTATATTGTTTTAGAACTACCTAAAAATTTGAAATTTGTTGTTCGGAAAATGATGATTTTTTTTCAATAATATCAAAAATGAAAAAGCTAGATTAAACATTTTATTATGTAAATAACACCAAAAAATGTTAGTCAAGATGTCATATTTTTCTATGCTAAAATGTATGTGTCATTTTCTCCCTTAGGGTTTACTTTCACTTTAGAGTGAATGTCATTTTGAACTCATTTTACCATAGTCAAACATCAAGTAGTTTTAACTTTAAAATTAGCGTTAAATTTTTCTTGGTCGTTGGTTAATCGTTAAAATATTTTCTCCATGTAACATAATTAAATCTGCTTTATATTCAAATGCTTATTTTTTTTAATAAAAAGAAAATAATTCATATTTATAACATTTTAATTAAAGAAAAAAAGAATTAGGGGCGTGTTGATACGCTCGTTTGGGAAACGCTAAAATTCCGGGTATCGCACCTATGATATTCTTATGATTAAATTATTTTACCACTCGCCGTAGGGTGAACGAAAACCTCGTGAGGAAACTTACATGTTTGCTCTTTCAAAAAATATTAAGTTTTTGAACGAAATGAAGTGCGCCACGCTTGGGTCGGCGTAAACTTATTTAACAACTAGGGTATGTATACAACTCCTCTATTTGAATCGGATATTATAAAATTTTTCATTGGTTTTAAATTTTTTGTGGCACCCTTTTTTTCTAAAATAAAAGTAGCCTAAGTTACTCCTTATTGCATCAGCTATCTGCCAGTAAAAGTCCCGTCAAAATCGGTCCAGCCATTTCAGAGATTAGCCGGAACAAACAGACAGACAAAAATTGTAAAAAAAATGTTGTTTTGGTAGTGTAAACATCCATATGCATTTAGTAAAAAGCTGTTATTTTGACATTACAAACAGACACTT